ATAGATTTGACATTTGACGCTGTGGATGTTAACTCACTCTGAAAAGTGTGCGGGTCGAAAGGTTTCTCGTGTAGATGAGTGGGACTTCCGTTGGAGAGTTATTTCCACATTTTAGTTACTTCATAACTGGCTGTGGTTAGCGAAGTGTAAAAAGCATTGGTGTCGTATCACGTGATATGGAGTTTGACACTGAGAGGGGTGCGTGTAGTGTTCATGGTCGGCGCTAGAAGTAAATTTGGTTTGTTGACACCTCGTTCCACTAGTTGGATGTTGTCCCAGGGGCGGCTCCATAGATAAGCGACGGCTCCATGACGCCGGATCGCATAACCAGACGTGTTGTGGTTGTATGTTCACCCCGGGGGTAAGCCCCGGCTCCACGAGACCGGGTTCCCATAACCGGACGTGTGTGGTTGTATGTTTTCCCCAGGGGTAAGTCACGGCTCCATGACGCCGGGTCGCATAACCGGACGTGTTATGGTTGTATGTTCACCCCGGGGGTAAGCCCCGGCTCCACGAGACCGGGTTCCCATAACCGGACGTGTGTGGTTGTATGTTTACCCCGGGGGTAAGCCACGGCTCCGTGACGCCGGATCGCATAACCGGACGTGTTGTGGTTGTATGTTTTCCCCGGGGGTAAGCCCTGGCTCCAGGAGACCGGGTTCCCATAACAGGACGTGTGTCTACATAAGGAACATGACGTGGATTGTTGCTAGCCTTGGACTTAATCCATGCCTATCGTACACACACGCTTTGATAGATCCATCTCATGAATAATTTATACCGCGGGACTTGTCTTCTGTTCATCTGTAGTCATTCGAAGCGAATGACGTTTTAATTATAAGGAAAGTAAATTCGACCAAAATTTCCATCCGATTATTTATTAAATGTTTCTATTTTTTTCTTCTTCCTTTTTTTAGAGCAGACTTGACAATATTTTAGGGGTCGTCCTTTTTTTATGTGGTCAGTGTGGAGAAAGAAATGTGCCCGGCCACTGGGGTTTATTGGTGGACGTGATTTGACCGTCTAGCGTTAATCCTTGAAGTGCTGTTTGTCGAGATGAACCGTGCCCTTTTCCTTAGTCTTCATTTGACGACATCACTTAGGGGAGGCATCATTGAAATACTTGAACACATTGACACAACTTAAGAGCGGGATCCCCTTAACCCCTGCCAACGTCGTCCGGTCAACAAATCTTGTCTGGGGGGAGGGGGGAAGGGCATGAACGGACAGAAGCGGTGAAGGTTTTATACTTTATACACAACTACAAATGAGACTGGCGACTTGCATGGTCTCTTAGTACAAGACTTGTTAAGAGTTTGGTCGCCCTGTTGAAAAATAAATTACCATTGAACGTGACCTAGATAAGAAATGAGTAATCATGCCTAATCTAGTGGCCCAAGTTCAAGCTAGACCGGGAAAACTTTCAGTACGTCACACAGTAAGTCGACACCGGTTGGATCGCCGAGTCGTGATTTCGGGATCAAGTTTAGCGGCCGTGATTAGAGATTACGGGAAAAATAAATTGATTAACAAATTCCTTGCGGGTTAGCTGACATTTAAATAATTTAAACTGAAACCAGTTCCCAAGTGAGCAGTCAATCGTGGTAAAATTGGTCTAGTCTGTAAACTAGAAATATAGAAGTGCGCAAGCTGTATTCGTAAAACTTGGTTTGGTTGGAAATCTTAGGCAAAGTCAGTTGCATTAGACACGATTTTCGTGGATTTAATAGGTGATGCCGCTACTGCTAGATATACATCATAGTAGGTATGGCTTAATCCACAGTGTTGCCTTAGTTAAAAACTAAAAAATGAACACGAAACATTACCAGTGTAGGAGTCCCCCATCTCTTCCTACCTAAAGTGGTGACGCTCACGTCAACCGTCTTAAATACAAGTGCTCACGGGTCGGTGCTAAATTTACAACAAATCGTTGCAGTAACCAGGCTATAATTAGACATAAGTCAAGCTTTCAAAAAGTCAAATCACTCCTTAATGAAAGTGAGTAGTCATTTACTCTCGCATCCGCACGCGCTACTCTGACCTTTGGACTGTCACGGGTCATCGGCTCACGTTTCCTGGTTGCTTCACTACTAAAGTTTACTACACAATTTTTTTTAAACGACCGTCGATACTATATTTAGAAAGTCTTAGTCACTTAGTCATCACGGATCTGTCCTATTCCAAATGGTATCACGGAGATGACATAATGTATAAATACTCGCTTGATTTTTTTTTTATAAACATAAACGTCGACGATTTTTATTGGTGAGTTTTTGTTTTGTATTTCCGAGAGTTTAAGTAATGTTGAATCAAGCTTTACCAGTTGTTTTTCCTTAGTTAATTGATTACTTTAGCATCATTAGCCAAAACAAAAATTAAAGAATAATCTAAGTAGATTTTATTAAAAAGTTTTGGAACCGTCGGAATATTTGAGAGTTAAACTGCTGTTATTTTTTTCGTGTTCAGTTTCAAAAATGTTTCAAATGTAAATTCAGTCACCTATCTCAGTTTCTTTGTTCAAATTAAACTGTTTGTTATGTCTTCCTGATTCGGTTTTCTAACTGATATTGAACTGTAACTTCACATTTAAAAGTAAAAACATACGTCCTTCTGATGCTGTTAGAAATTGACTTAGACTTAATTGTTCAGATGTTATAGAAACTACCCTACATGTCTGAGCGGGCACTATATTAGAGTACATTATAGTAAACCTATGTTGATCTGCTGCCCTCTTACGCTTGTTAAAAGATAGTCGGGTGTATCTATTCATAGCGATTATAGTCATTCAATATAATAGAATAGCTCTATGAGGTTTGTTGTTTACTTGACATCCTGATATTGTTAAGCGTGCACTAGAACAAAGCGTACAGAATCTGCTTTCGGTAACATGGTCGGGGAAATGTTTCGATAAAGTTCAAAGGTCGGACACAAATTTGAACATCCGGTGTAAATACAACCCAGTTGTCGTATTCTCTCAAGTTGGTGTAGCGCTGGGTTTTGTTTATGTGTGTGTGTCTGTCTGTTTGTGTGTGTGTCTGTGTGTGTGTGTCTGTGTGTGTGTGTGTGTGTAGCCTCATCTTATCAGTTGTACCGTGCTTACATCCGACTGTCAACAAGGCCGATGGTGATGATTGGTTGGTGGCCATCGATTTTTTGGTCCACGGTGGTTGATCTATTATACAGCAGCAACAACCTGCTCACCTTGATGGCCGACCCACATTACTGGCCTGAGATATTGCGATAACTTATGTCGGTACAGCTGCGACCTATATGTTACGTTGTTTTTGTTTTCTATTTTAACCCATACCTTATGGACCAGCAATTCTTCTCTTTTTTTTTTCTAAACTTCAAAATAGTTTTAATGAAAAGTATTTAAGAACCTATAGTGTGGCAAAGCTCAGAATATAAGGACGATTGATTACAATGGAAGTTCTCCAAACCCTCCTTGATCTGCAGTCAACACGGTGCTTTTCTTTATTTCCTCTTGTCTATAATGCAATCATAATGTTGTGCTGATGACGACCTTGGTCTATTACATTGTTTGATGGCTGACTATGTAAATACTTCATTATATTCGCCTTACTCCAACTACTGTTTGCCCTAGGCTAAATTATTATAATATATTGGATTATTTGCGTAAGGTCTGCTATAACTAGAGTCCTAGTTTCAGCAGTAAGTTTGAGCTAGTGGTCACTGACTCAATGACACCTCAAGAGTTCGTGGCTGTGATTTGATCAATCACAAGTTGACATGATCGTCATCTCCCTCGGTCCATCGCTCTTGTACATCGCAGTACGTAATTCCGTTCAGTGCCGGCCGGTTGGTAGAAGGCGGTTGGTTCTCGATCATGTGTCCACGTGCTATCCAATCAAACGTCGTCACATGGTGTGTCGGATGTTGGAACTAATTAGAGTGGCGGAGATGAGTTTGTCACTAATTGTGACGTATCTCTCATCGGGTGACATTATGTCAGAATGTGTCGAGCCACCATATTTCATCAGTGTCTGTAGTCTGGTCACCTGATTGAGTCGACTCTAGTCTCGTGGGCAACTGCTAACCCAAAAGGCTCGAGTTCGATTCCAGGACTTGAGTCTGTAGGACGGGCTGAGTCCACTCAGCTCTGATGGGTACCTGGCTCATGTTAGGGAGAGTCAAGGCGGCTCAGTGTAGTGCTGACCATACTATCCCTTCGTATGCTGAGGTCATAGACACATGTGAATTCTACTTCATCTACCCCTTGAACAGCAAGGTTCGAAATGGCAGCTTTTTAACTCTAGTAAGCTTGGGTGGGGAGGAATGGTTGGCTGCATATACCGCTGACCACATATCCCCTTTGTATGCATGCATATTTCAAGTCGAGCTAGTTTGTAATGATTAACTGTTAGTAAGTTATTAAGCTAACTCATCAATTAGATATACTTGGGAAATATCCTTCAAGTACAAGTAAACCGTTCTCGCTTTTATAGTAATTTGTTTATACATTTGTAGCTCCGCGATATCTCAGCTTAATTTAAGTAACCCAAATAGACATATGTTGATGTTTCAGATATGATTGATAAGAGAGGTTGTGTGACTAATGGTGTGCATGTCTGGTGCTGTAGCTGAATGACTGGAAGTATATCTGTTGGGTCATATCTGGGTTCCTCAAGTCAAGCTGTTTACCTTGATGTGGGAGGGTTAGTTAACGGAGGGGGGGGGGGATAGATCACCTGTCACTTGGTGCTGAATGGTTATGTTGCGGGTACACGTAGCTTTTTAAAAAAAATGTGCATGGGAAAACGCAGCAGAACAAATATCAACGCGGTTGCAAGCTCGGCTATGGTTGGCTGGGTTAGGGCATGTGCCGCTGTCTGGGTGTTTGACTTGCCGCTGCGGGAGGGGAACAGGTGGTGTTGGGGACGGCCAAACGCCGGTACCGTGTGTGGGAACTTGCCGTGTGTAGGGAGGGAGGGAGGGGCCCACACACCCGATGTCTCATTCAACCAAACATCCTGCGCTCTCTGGCCGTGGTTCAGTTCAAACCCTCGACAGTGTTAACTCGGGATCGTTTATTCTAGTGCCATTTGGACTAGCCTGTGGTGTTATTTGGCTAAACTGTGCTGTCAGTTATCTAGCCCGTGCTGTCATTTGACTAACCTACGGTGTCGTTTGTCGTATTGTTTACGGATACTACTTTAAAAAAATAAATAAACTACTTTGTGGATGAACGTATTATTGTAATGTAAACAATGCCATCACAACAAACCACTTGGTGAGTACAGCTACTGACGTAAATACGGTAGTTACTCGTTAAGTATACACATTTATTATGAAGACGTCATCGGATATGTTTTCCCCGTCATAATCTTAAAGATTCATATATAGTTTCTTCAGTTGCGTGTCACGTGATTTTTTTGTAAACGCGGTGTTGACAAACTTTTTAGTTGTTACGTTACTTAACCCAACATCGGCCACGCCCATGTCTCGCGACTACCTGGATGGTCTAGATAAACTAACAGTGTAGGCCTACTCATTCATCATTAGATCACTTAATACAACACAACCAAGGCTAATCGAACCCATTGTCTTAATATCGATCTGTTGTTACCTGCCTTCCTACATGCCCGGTGTTCATTGATTTGTCTGACTTCCTTATGTTATAAATAGCATATTGATGAAGTCTCTCGTGTCGTCACACACTTCTTACAGTATAATGAATGATATCTCTTTCTTATGTTTTGTTTACAGGGTACACCGGGTTATTTATAGTAACAGTCTTTTTTTAAAGTGCCTTAAAGATTTTTTTCCGGTCACGAGATTATTAGTTTCCCGCCAGTTTGTTTATCTAGCAGACGAAACCGTCGTGGTATCTTTCGTATATTTTTACTGACGGTCGAATTAAAAAAAAAATGTTTATTACTCATAAGACACGCTGGTTTTTTAGCATGACAGCCTACTTACGATTCTATTTTTAATGGTTGGTATACAGTCAAATCAGCGTCAACTTTAAAATCACATTTTAATTCTAATTATGGCAGTGTCAGCCGTCCTTGACCTACGTCTCAATTTATCCCTTGGGATGGTGAATTAGTTAAAAAGCTACACTTAACCAAGATACACTGTTCTGTACTTTTGTGCGAACGTCCAGTATTGAAACTTACATCTACTACCTTCCCCACCCCCATATATATATATATATATATATATATATATATATATATATATATATATATATATATATATATATATATATATATATATATATACATATATAAATACGTCTATATATATATATATATATATATATATACATATATAAATACGTCTATATATATATATATATATATATATATATATATATACATATATAAATACTTCTGTATATATACATATATACATATATAAATACTTCTGTATATATACATATATAGACATATATACGTATATATATATATATATATATATATATATATATATATATATATATATATATATATATATATATATATATATATATATATATATATATATAATGTACACATGTAGTTAATAATACAATAGACTAAAGCCATTAAACTTTGTATTTCAGAGAGTTTAGGCAATGTATCAAGCTTTACCAGTTACAATTAAGAACATGTTCACCCCAGTTTGCTGCTGAATTATAATTTCTTCATTCTATATCTGGTGAGTTTGTGGATTTATCTCTGGTACACACATTAGATAATCTCTTGCAACACATGTCATTTAAATATGGCTAGAGCTCATTTCAAGTAGCCCAGTAATTGGTTTTAAAGTTACAGCTGATTAAATAGCAAATTAGAATAATAGTTTTTTTTTTTTAAATAAACTTTGGTGAATATGTTATTGCTACACAGGAAGACTTATCTCTTTTAAGAGATGTGCAGTTATACAACATAGTAAAAAAAAAGCATTCTTTTAAATTAAATCTATACTTTATTGTTTAAATAAAATGTAAATACATTTTTTTACACACATTTTGATCTTGAGGTAAAAAAAATACATATTTTATTGTTCAAGTGTGAAATATACTTAAATAATTTGTCTAGTTGTTAATTTTCTATGTCCCCCCAATCCTACTGTATGTCATCTATTGTGTGGTAGTGATATGTGACTTGCACTAAAGTTATCTATAAACTTGACAGTGAGTGGAAGGCCCACCCTGTGTCGCCATGGCTATGACCAAAATCAAAGGGCTGCAGATGTGGTGCAAGAGGATGACGGAGGGCTACGAACACGTGGACATTGCCAACTTCACCACGTCCTGGAGGGATGGCATGGCTTTCTGTGCCCTCATTCATAGGTTCAGGCCAGATCTCATGTGAGTCTAGGGTAGGGTAGGTGGAGTAGAGTTTGTCTGACAACTTCAGGATGGCATGGCTTTCTGTGCCCTCATTCATAGGTTCAGGCCAGATCTCATGTGAGTCTAGGGTAGGGTAGGTGGAGTAGAGTTTATCTGACAACTTCACCACGTCCAGGAGGGATGGCATGGCTTTCTGTGCCCTCATTCATAGGTTCAGGCCAGATCTCATGTGAGTCTAGGGTAGGGTAGGTGAAGTAGAGTTTGTCTGACAACTTCACCACGTCCTGTAGGGATGGCATGGCTTTCTGTGCCCTCATTCATAGGTTCAGGCCAGATCTCATGTGAGTCTAGGGTAGGGTAGGTGGAGTAGAGTTTATCTAACAACTTCACCACGTCCTGGAGGGATGGCATGGCTTTCTGTGCCCTCATTCATAGGTTCAGGCCAGATCTCATGCGAGTCTAGCTGGAAGATGGTTGGTTTTAAAATGATGATGTACCACCCAGTATTCAGTGGGGTAGGTGGAGTAGAGTTTGTTTTCGCTATTTGTTATGAAGAGACTATGCTGCCAGTACAATGTCTTGTTGTTCTTCATATACAGCTTTATTTTACACACTGTATTCTTAACTCTTGTTGATAGTATACTTACTAATTACAGTGCTGATCACTGTGTATTTTTTGTATTGAAATATTGTCAGTTTTTCCTTTGGTAAAAATAACTTGGTTTTGAATTAACCCAGCTTAGGTTTTGAATTAACCCAGCTTTTTATGTATCCCACCTTCAAGTGTATAAGACAAGTAAAAAAAAATTGTAATGAAAGAGCAGCTCAAATAACAGGAAGCTCTGTCCTTAGTCAACAGCTGGTGGTGTATGTTTCTGGTAGAGTGGTTTCCCTTTGTCCCTGGTTATTGCCCCTTGCCTATCCTTGTCTAGTTGCCTATGTTGGATTTAATAACCTGTCAGTGGTAAAATTTCATCAACTGTTTATCATTCAGAAATAAGCAAAAACCTCTTATTTTATTAGTTCTAAGTTTTGGGCAGTGTTTTAAAACATATTGTAACAGAGACTATATCTTTTATAAATGATAAATATTTTTTAAATACATAAAAATTTAAGATTTACTTTGTTGAATGCTTTTATAAAGTTTAAACATTAACTATAGTTATTTTTTTTTCTTTTCAGAGACTATGAGTCATTATCCCCAAATAATGTTTTTGAGAACTGCAAATTGGTAAGTCTATTTTATAAAATTTTAAGTTTTTTTTTTAACGTCTTCTAAATAAAAAAAAATAATCTCAGAAACAAGGAGTGATTGTTAAGATGATTGTATTCAAGCAGTAGATCTTTCCCAGCATTTGCATAATCTGATCATTTCCATTCCAGGCCTTTGAGGTGGCAGAGAGAGAGCTTAATATCCCAGCATTCCTTGAGGCAGATGACATGGCCAGGTTGAAGGTCCCAGACAAACTCAGTGTGATCACCTACGTGTCTCAGTACTACAACTTTCTCAACCCCCTTCCACAGTGTGAGTTCTCGTGGTCCAGATCAGTCACTCCACTGTTAGATAAAATTATTGAGAGGCTTAACATATTGTTTTTTATTTAAACTTAAATTCCTAATATAGCATAATATTGGGTTAAGGGATAAGAGTTATGGCCAGGTCTAGCTCTAACAAATATTTAAAAAAACTAAAGATTCTATATTCTAATAAGTAGTTGATTTAGAAGTTGCTTAATGAAATGAAGATTGTTAGCTTAATACTAGTGAAAATATTGCTACCTCATTGTCTATAATGAAATAAAGATAGTTTGCTTAGTACTAGTGGCAGTATTGTTCCCATTTTTGTCTAATCTTGACCAATCTGTCTTTATGCAGTGGGTGGTCCAGGTGTGAAGGGCAAGGTCAAAGCTTCTACTGGAACTAAAAGGCCACCAGACAATGACCACTCCACAGGACCTTCATCTAAAAAATCAACAACTAACGCTAAAGAAAATGCCAACCCAGTAAGAGAATAATAGATTTCTTCAAATATAATATGCCTGTCTTAAATACTTTTTTTATGATGACTTAAGGGCATAGTAGTTTATTTCATTATTCAGTTATTCAGTTATTTAGTTATTTTTCTTGCCGTTATTTAAAACAAATTGTTTTTTGTATTCTGTATGCAAAAAAAATTTTTTTAATTATTTCCTTAAAATTAAGATATTGGTTAATCTTCAAACTTTCTTTCAGTAAACTCATTTATTCTTGTAATGACATGCAGAGAATTAATGTCTGCTCACTGTCTTGTTGCTGTTCTTTTTCTCTCTTTGATTTTCTTGAAGGTGTATTTGTCTTTGTGTTACATGTTCTCATTTATGTGTGTGGTGTTCTCTGTTTTATATAGTTATTATATTGATGATGATGTCCAAGAGTTTAATTTTAATGTTCTGATATTCTATGCAGATATTCTTTATGTTTCTGTGTTTGTGTCCAAGTTATTGATTCAGGCAAATGGGGGACAAATGTGCCATCTGCCAGAACATATTTTTGTGTTCCATGTTGACTTTCTTATATTTATGTTGTTTTCAATTTGTATAAGTGTGTTCCCAGGCCATTGATACAGTGAGACCTGGATCACTGGGGGACAAATGTGCCATGTACCAGAACTTGTTCTTATATTCTATGCTGACATTTTATGTTCTTATGTTTTAATCTTGTGTTCCCAGGCCATTGATACAGCCAGACCTGGATCACTGGGGGACAAATGTGCCCATCTACCAGAACTTGTTCTTATATTCTATGCTGACATTTTATGTTTTAATCTTGTGTTCCCAGGCCATTGATACAGTCAGAACTGGATCACTGGGGGACAAATGTGCCATCTGCCAGAACAAAGTGTACCTGCTGGAGCGCCACATAGAGCTGGGCAAGCTGTTCCACCGCTCCTGCTACCGTCACAGTGAGATGTCCCCCACCAGCAAGGTGTACACGCGCTCACCTTTCCTGTCCCCGTCACTTAGCACTGAAGCTCCCCTCAGCCCCTCCTACGTGGCCAGTGAGGCCAGGGCAGGTCATGGTGATGTGGTGGCGACAGTCAAGGAAGACTCCAGGATGAGTAAGCCCAGTGAGGTCAAGCCCAGCGCCACATCTGAGCATTTGCCCAGCAGCAAGAGAGTCGAGACAGCGGGGATGAAGCATTCTCTTCCAGAGCCAGACAGAGACGATACAAAAAAATCCAAATTCCAGCCTAAGAACATCTTTTCTGCTAAAACTGCTATCAAAGATAGGTTAGAAAGTCTCAAAGCGAAGTACTCAGAGCATGGTAGTTCGTCCTCGGAGAATGCCCTGCCGTTGTCTAGTAAAGAGGCTAACAAGCTGGAGAAAAGAAACCAAGAGATTCTGTCTGCGGAAAAAACCGCAGCTTCTGTTCAGAAGGGCACAAAAAGAAATGTCCCTTTAATCTTTCAGCATAAAGAAGCTGACATCTCTGAAAAAGGTGCTTCATCTACTTCGCTAGTGTTACCAAGTTCGTCATCAAAGTACCCCAATCTTTCAGCCTCCGCCTCAGCAGTTGACTCCAGTTCCTCTGGGGTCAAATCTGCTGCAGCGCCCAGGTTAACCACAAGCTCAGCACAAAACTCAGGCTCTAGTAGACAACTAGAGGACAAGCCAGAGGAGACTGAGAAGCATCTGGATGCGGTCACAGCGGAGGTGAAACCCAAGCTTGACACCGTCCAGTCTAAAAGCGTGCCAATGGCTAAACCTAGATCTGTGATACCCAAACAAACCTCTGCAGAGGATTTACACTCTTCTAAGACATCGCTTAGTCCGAGTAAAGACAGTACACCCAAACCCGTCCCTAGAAAAATCAAAACAGAAGCTGTAGAGAAGAAGCAAGCACCAGAACGACCTAAAGAGCTCCCTCATGTTAAGCTGTATGCAGACCAGGAGAGTAAAACCTCTCCCCTGTCACCCCCTTGTGGGTCACCCCCACCCCTGCCCTCTACAGCACCCCCTTCAGTTTTACCCCACCCCAACACAGATAATGAAAAACCCGTTGTTGACACTACCCACATAAGGAAACAACATGAAGCCTTGCCTCAGGATAACTTAAGATCCAAACTGATCCACAACAAATCTACAGAAGGTAAGGAGTTGGATCGCAGGCTGTCAACACCTCTGCCAGTCAGCAGTGAAATAACACTATCTGTGGAGAGGAAAAATGAAGGCCAGGTTCTAACTGGGCTTCTGGCATCACTTTCTCAAGTGAGGGGGCGGGCAGCCTCCACCCCCAGCATATCAGCCACCCCATCCAAAAGTAGTGCTTTATCTCTTCACAGTGACTCCCTGGGTAAAAATGGTGCATCCTTTCTTCACAGTGATTCTACGATAAAAAATGGTGCATCCTCTCTTCACAGTGACTCTACCATAAAAAATGGTTCATCCTCTCTTCATAGTGATTCTATGATAAAAAATGGTGCATCCTCTGTTCACAGTGATCCTACGATAAAAAATGGTGCATCCTCTGTCCACAGCGATTCTACAATAAAAAATGGTTCTTCTTCTCTTCATAATGAGTCTGCAGTAAAAAGTGGTTTATCCTCTCTTCATAATGATTCAATGATAAAAAGTAGTTCCTCTCTTCATAATGACTCAACTGATCCTGTAAAAAAAACTGGTTTATTAGCACATTTGAAGTTTGATTCAAATGAAGGTGCAGTCAGCTCACAGAACAGCCTGGCAAAAGATGTCAAATCTAAGAAAGACATGTTGAACTCCTACACGTCCAAATCAATGCTTAATACCCACACCGACTCAAACAGCGCACCAGCAGTCAGAGCTACAGGAAGCTTTGACTTGACCCCCAAACCCTCAAATACTCCTCACAAAACCAATGAACCATTCACTATTGCTGGTTCCTTAAAGCCAGGTCCTGGTGCCTCGAAAACACAACATCAGCTGATCCCAGATGATAGCTCACAGACTAAACCAAAATCCTCTACAACACTTGTGGGAATTCTGAAGAACAGTGGTACAAAAGTGAATGTTGGTGACATGCAGGGTGCTTCATATTCAGTTTCAAAACCTGGAATTTCAGAAAACACCAATAATGGGGGAATTCTGAAGAACAGTGGTACAAAAGTGAATGTTGGTGACATGCAGGGTGCTTCAAATTCAGTTTCAAAACCTGGAATTTCAGAAAACTCAAAAAACGTTTCTAGTCAAATTACGGAGAAAAAGGACTCTGCCAAAATTGATCTAAAAGTCACCAGCAATAAAGAGAGCACAGAATCAACAAAGGTGACGGATACTTCACTTCAGCTCAGTAACATCAAGTTAAAACGAGTCATGCCTGAGCGCAGAGAGGTAAAAAAAGCATCTGATGCACCTGTATTTGATGTGCACCTGAAGAAAGTGGATGACACACCTGTCAAACCATCCAGGCCCTCCAAAAGCAACATTTCCACCGTCAGTCAGCCGGCACTTTCTGAAACCCATAAGGATACTTTAGCCAAAACTTTTTCTAATGAGGCCCAAAAAGATAATCTAGTCAAAACTTTTTCTAATGAAGCCAATAAAAACATTCCTTCTAAAATCTCATCAAATGAAGCCCACAAAGACCTTTCATCCAAGAAATCTGCCTTTGAAGCCCCCAAAGATATTGGAATCAAAATTTCTGCAAGAACTGATGATACACCAAATGAAGTTTCAGTAATTTCCAGTAAGTCTGAATACATCCCTCAGTGGAAGGTAGATATTGAAGAAAGGAAGAAAAGGTTGAGGGAAGAAATGGCTAGGTCTGAGATTGTCAGCATGAGGTCAAAGTTCACCTCACAGAAAAATGACAGAAAAGAACGTCCAAAATCAGACGATGTTAGCATCTTGCTGAAAGACAGTGAGATGTCTAACGTGGTGCTGAATAACAAAAACGTTTCCAAAGTGTCTGGCAACCTCTCCCCACGCAGGAAGTCTGTGGATGTTTTGGGCATCAGGGGCACAGAGAGTGACATAGAACAGATCCTCAATGTCAAGGCCAAGTTAACCAAACCCAGAACATCCAATGAATTTGATCAGGGCACGGAAAAGTTGGACTGGCAAGTCGAGGCGGAGAAAAGAAGTGCTGCGTTAGCTGCCAGGGTGAATGGTGAAGTGAAGAAGGACACGGCCAGGGTCCTACCCCAGGTCCCGGCAGAGGACCAGAGCAATCGTAATGAAAGCAGGATTAAAAAACTCGAGATAAAAGTAGGGGGTGAGGACAAGAAACAGAATGAGAAAAATGTTGAGCAAAAATCTAAAAATAAGTTTCAAGATTTGATTATCCCCCCTGATGTGAATAAAAAGCTAAAATCCTTTGAGGCCCACAACATAGTAAACATACAGATTGAACACAAAACACCGACTGAAGAGAACGGTTCTATTGTTGAAGACTTTAGAGAAAAATTAAGGCAGCTGAAGCATGTGGAGGTTGACAAAGTTCAGGAATCTGTTGATTCTCTAGGAAACGAGGAACTAAAAAATGCTAAGGCTCACAAAGAAACGATTATGGTCACAAGACATTTGTTAAATAACACTAACAATAATTCCAAATTAACCGATAATGACCACATTGCCCGACTTGAGCATAATCCACCGGAGCATAATCCATCCGAGCATAATCCATTGTTGTTTCACACTATTAGCCTGGATGACACGGATGTGTTATCAGAGGAAGGTAAAACTAAAGAGGAGAAAACTCTGATAAACAGTGAAGCCCACTACTCTAAAGAAACAGCTAAGACTCATGAAGAGCCGGAAACTTCTAAGTTCCCAAAGGTTAAAAGGAAGATCACAGTATTAGGAAGCAATCATATGGTAAGGAAGTTGTCCATGATGAACTGTGTTGATGTACTGTGTCTGTATCTTACTGTAGGCTGAACAATTGTTTTGTTAGTTGACAACACCTCAAAAACATATAATATTTATAAAAAAAATATTTTATTCATAATTACTAAACTGCTACCCATTTTAAAAAAAAAACAAAAAAAAAACCTGATGTCACCTATTTATATTCTATTTCACTACCTCTATCTCAATACCAATGTATTTTATTCAATATGTTGACATAATTTGTGTGTATTAATCTACTAATGATGATTGTGTTGTTTTTTGTGATGGAGCTTTATTAACACCATTTTAACAATTTTTATAAATTTGATACATGTTGGACACAAAAAGTATTCCAAAAGCTGCATGCTGTTTTAAATAAAATTTAACAGTGTGTAATGATTGAGCTGGGTGTTCTTTAGAGAAAATATATTGCTGTTTTAGGTTAGGGATGAAAATCCTTGTCTTTTTCATAAATGTATAGATCCATACACAAGATCACGAGTCATATAAATAAATACCGTTACGTTGTTTCTTGATTTTAAAAGATTGTAGACCTTCCATAACAAAAAGCAAAAAATTTCCTATGCTTTTGTTAACAAATCCTGAAATTATGAAAATAAATACTGTTATCTTTCATTTTGAAACCAAAACATTATAAAAAGAAGAAAAAATAATATTTAAAAAGAATTTTACGCAGACACTGCTGTGGAACCACTGCTGTAATTATTGGGGAAGTAACCACACTTTTGTATTTAGCTTGAATAAAGCTCCAACCCAGTAAAAACCAAACATTTGTTGACTATCAAAGCACTGCCATGTTTAATTCATATTTTGTTTCGTCCAAAAAAAAAAAAAAAAAAAAAAGCAAAGCTGAATATTTAACATTCTAAAATGGGAACTGGTTTAAATTCCATTTGTCTCTCTCTCATACACACACACTGAATTTCTCTACAATAATATCAGCAGTATGCTCAAACCAACTCTACATCATAGGCACTTATACACCTGCAACTATTCTACTAGCTCACTTATATTTATTTCAATCAGATTATAACCTAACATGTGTTGACCTGCATACTAACATGTTTAACCCAAACATTCACTGGATTATATTTTTTGCTTAAAACCTGACTCAATCTGTAGAACTAGTAAAATCTGTTCTTACATTTACATTTTAAAAAAGACTTCTATCTAGTTATTGCAATTTTTCAAGATTTACACAAAACAGTTTTAAAATCCTTTATTTAGTCCCTAACTTGTAGAAAAAATTCTTTGTCAATAAATTGGGGCTGTACACACACACACACACATATAATTAACCATGTAATGTTTTAGACTAACATGTGATATGTTAGTGAAGTTTAAAGTTAATGCTGAGTAAAAAAAGTGGGATGGAAATATTTTGATCATAAAACCTAGTGAACAAAAATATTTCTTTATGTTAAAAGAACTTCGTGTTAAATTATCTGAATGAAAGGATCCACAGCAATGTTTAAAATCTTTATCAGAGGATCCATACCAATGCTTAAAATGTGAATGAAAGGATCCATACCAATACTTAAAATGTGAATGAAAGGATCCATACTAATGCTTAAAATCTGAATGAAAGGATCTATACTAATGCTTAAAATCTGAATGGAATGATCCATACCAATGCTTAAAATCTGAATGAAAATATCCATACCAATGCTTAAAATCTGAATGAAAGGATCCATACCAATGCTTAAAATCTGAATGAAAGGATCCATACTAATGCTTAAAATCTGAACAAAAGGATCCATACTAATGCTTAAAATCTGAATGAAAGGATCCATACTAATGCTTAAAATCTGAACGAAAGGATCCATACTAATGCTTAAAATCTGAATGAAAGGATCCATATCAATGCTTAAAATCTGAATGAAAGGATCCATACCAATACTTAAAATCTGAATGAAAGGATCCATACCAATGCTTAAAATCTGAACGAAAGGATCCATACTAATGCTTAAAATCGGAATGAAAGGATCCATACCAATGCTTAAAATCGGAATGAAAGGATACCAATGCTTAAAATTTGAATGAAAATATCCATACCAATGCTTAAAATCTGAATGAAAGGATCCATACAGATGCTTAAAATCTGAATGGAATGATCCATACTATGAATAAAAATATTTTACACAAAAGAAAAAAATAATTTCAAAAAGTCACTGGAGAGTTATGAATTTTTAGTTTATTAGGTGAACAAAAAAACTAAAATTATCTCTTTAAATATTTATATACATCAGATCACACATAAAATTGAAAAAAAAAGTTCATAAAGCAATTTAATTATTGTGATTTACATTACTTGTGTTCCATTACATATCCTAAAGCTGAGTTTAACAATTTAAAACATACCTTTTTTTTTTGTTTGTTAAATTCAAAGCATTTTGATATGCCTACACATATTTAATACTATTAAAGATTATACCCATAATTGGTTAGCCACAAGTGATCAAGCAGGAACATATTAAATCATTGAGGAAAAAAATAATGTCAATAAACTTCATCCATTCTCTTGGGTGAATTTCACAGCATTTAACTTCAAGCAATAAAACCAATTCTATAAAACACATTTTTCTGCAACCATTAAAGTTGGTGTCACCCTAAATCCCTTGCTTTTTAATGACACCCATCCCCCACCTCAAACTCTTGTCAGAGGTGTCATTTTTCTCTTTATACGCACATATACTATACTGTGTATATATACACCTTCATCCGATTGCCATGAAACTTTGGGGAGTTGATGAGAACACTCCTTGAGGTTTCTGCAAAAAATCTTTTGTAATTTCGCAAGGGCGGCGCCCCAGGAGGGTGTGATTTTTCATGTGAGTGCTATGGCGCCTAAGTTCGTTTTAAACAGTGCAAAAGACTGCGCATAAAATAGGGTATTAGAGTCGTTAACTAAACATAATCAGGGGTGTCTCTTGGCGCCCCGGCAGGGTGCGATTTGGCTCTCTTGGTTATCCTGTGAGCACCATGTTGTTAGTTTTAAGTTATATTATAAATTTTGAAACCTAAATTTTTCAGAAATGGTGTTTTATTAGAATAAAAGTGTTTTTAAAAAACTTTGTTGTTACAATGGTTTTTATTCATTTATTTATCTGCCTAAATATTTGTGTTTGTTCCAGAATAAGTCTGAGCCCCTCCCCTCGACACCCAACAGGCTCAAGAAAATAGAAGTGGGCACTAAGTTCAGCTTTGACCATAGCTTGGATGTTGAGTCGAGTCTGTCAGACTCAACCCAGAGTATGACCATTCAGGATGTCCACACCCCCAAACAACAAGTACCTACACACTTCCAGGAGAAAGTGGTTTGTTCTGTTTTTTTGTTTTTGTTATTTAAAACATTAGAGGATGAAGATTCTAGGAAAATCAAGCCAAATACTACATTGTTTCTACATGTGAAAAGCATTTTAAAATAGTTTTAAGTATATAATTTTACAGTTTTAATTTTGAGTACTAAAATAATATGAGAATTTGACCATGCCACCACATTTCTGGGCAATGTCAGAATGAACAGAAATGGAGAAAAAATAAATGTCCGTTAACACTGCATAATCACATGGTACTATTTGCCTACTTAATTCATCACTAAGAACATTGTATAGGTAGGGTATTACAATCTTTAAATAAAAACTTAATGTTCCAACTATCAGACATTTAAAGCAGTCAATAATTTATTTACACTTTACAACATTAAGTGTAAATCACCAGCTGATACAGTCAATTATTTTATTCTTTTTTTTTTCCAAATTATTAAAAATTATCAGGCAAGACATTTTTCAGAAACTATGGTCTCTGGGCAGTAAAAATGACATTTTTTTAATATCTTAAAAGTTCTCTTATTGTAATTGTACAATCTGTGTTATCAATAAACACCATATTCCTCTTGTTGTAATAGAAAAGTCACATCACATCTCAGCTATAGAACTACAGCAGCATCTGTTATAGTACACTCTATGATGCCACTAACACAATATTCCTCTTGTATAGAAAAGTCCACATCACATCTCAGCTATAGAGCTACAGCAGCATCTGTTATAGTACACTCTATGATGCCACTAACACAATATTCCTCTTGTATAGAAAAGTCCACATCACATCTCAGCTATAGAGCTACAGCAGCATCTGTTATAGTACACTCTATGATGCCACTAACACAATATTCCTCTTGTATAGAAAAGTCCACATCACATCTCAGCTATAGAGCTACAGCAGCATCTGTTATAGTACACTCTATGATGCCATTAACACAATATTCCTCTTGTATAGAAAAGTCCACATCACATCTCAGCTATAGAACTACAGCAGCTTCTGTTATAGTACACTCTATGATGCCATTAACACAATATTCCTCTTGTTGTAATAGAAAAGTCCACATCACATCTCAGCTATAGAACTACAGCAGCATCTGTTATAGTACACTCTATGATGCCATTAACACAATATTCCTCTTGTATAGAAAAGTCCACATCACATCTCAGCTATAGAACTACAGCAGCATCTGTTATAGTACACTCTATGATGCCATTAACACAATATTCCTCTTGTATAGAAAAGTCCACATCACATCTCAGCTATAGAACTACAGCAGCATCTGTTATAGTACACTCTATGATGCCATTAACACAATATTCCTCTTGTTGTAATAGAAAAGTCCACATCACATCTCAGCTATAGAACTACAGCAGCATCTGTTATAGTACACTCTATGATGCCATTAACACAATATTCCTCTTGTATAGAAAAGTCCACATCACATCTCAGCTATAGAACTACAGCAGCATCTGTTATAGTACACTCTATGATGCCATTAACACAATATTCCTCTTGTTGTAATAGAAAAGTCCACATCACATCTCAGCTATAGAACTACAGCAGCATCTGTTATAGTACACTCTATGATGCCACTAACACAATATTCCTCTTGTATAGAAAAGTCCACATCACATCTCAGCTATAGAGCTACAGCAGCATCTGTTATAGTACACTCTATGATGCCATTAACACAATATTCCTCTTGTATAGAAAAGTCCACATCACATCTCAGCTATAGAACTACAGCAGCTTCTGTTATAGTACACTCTATGATGCCATTAACACAATATTCCTCTTGTTGTAATAGAAAAGTCCACATCACATCTCAGCTATAGAACTACAGCAGCATCTGTTATAGTACACTCTATGATGCCATTAACACAATATTCCTCTTGTATAGAAAAGTCCACATCACATCTCAGCTATAGAACTACAGCAGCATCTGTTATAGTACACTCTATGATGCCATTAACACAATATTCCTCTTGTATAGAAAAGTCCACATCACATCTCAGCTATAGAACTACAGCAGCATCTGTTATAGTACACTCTATGATGCCATTAACACAATATTCCTCTTGTTGTAATAGAAAAGTCCACATCACATCTCAGCTATAGAACTACAGCAGCATCTGTTATAGTACACTCTATGATGCCATTAACACAATATTCCTCTTGTATAGAAAAGTCCACATCACATCTCAGCTATAGAACTACAGCAGCATCTGTTATAGTACACTCTATGATGCCATTAACACAATATTCCTCTTGTTGTAATAGAAAAGTCCACATCACATCTCAGCTATAGAACTACAGCAGCATCTGTTATAGTACACTCTATGATGCCATTAACACAATATTCCTCTTGTATAGAAAAGTCCACATCACATCTCAGCTATAGAACTACAGCAGCATCTGTTATAGTACACTCTATGATGCCACTAACACAATATTCCTCTTGTATAGAAAAGTCCACATCACATCTCAGCTATAGAACTACAGCAGCATCTGTTATAGTACACTCTATGATGCCACTAACACAATATTCCTCTTGTTGTAATAGAAAAGTCCACATCACATCTCAGCTATAGAACTACAGCAGCATCTGTTATAGTACACTCTATGATGCCACTAACACAATATTCCTCTTGTATAGAAAAGTCCACATCACATCTCAGCTATAGAACTACAGCAGCATCTGTTATAGTACACTCTATGATGCCACTAACACAATATTCCTCTTGTATAGAAAAGTCCACATCACATCTCAGCTATAGAGCTACAGCAGCATCTGTTATAGTACACTCTATGATGCCACTAACACAATATTCCTCTTGTATAGAAAAGTCCACATCACATCTCAGCTATAGAGCTACAGCAGCATCTGTTATAGTACACTCTATGATGCCATTAACACAATATTCCTCTTGTATAGAAAAGTCCACATCACATCTCAGCTATAGAGCTACAGCAGCATCTGTTATAGTACACTCTATGATGCCATTAACACAATATTCCTCTTGTATAGAAAAGTCCACATCACATCTCAGCTATAGAACTACAGCAGCATCTGTTATAGTACACTCTATGATGCCATTAACACAATATTCCTCTTGTATAGAAAAGTCCACATCACTTCTCAGCTATAGAACTACAGCAGCATCTGTTATAGTACACTCTATGATGCCATTAACACAATATTCCTCTTGTATAGAAAAGTCCACATCACATCTCAGCTATAGAGCTACAGCAGCATCTGTTATAGTACACTCTATGATGCCATTAACACAATATTCCTCTTGTTGTAATAGAAAAGTCCACATCACATCTCAGCTATAGAACTACAGCAGCATCTGTTATAGTACACTCTATGATGCCATTAACACAATATTCCTCTTGTATAGAAAAGTCCACATCACTTCTCAGCTATAGAACTACAGCAGCATCTGTTATAGTACACTCTATGATGCCATTAACACAATATTCCTCTTGTATAGAAAAGTCCACATCACTTCTCAGCTATAGAACTACAGCAGCATCTGTTATAGTACACTCTATGATGCCATTAACACAATATTCCTCTTGTTGTAATAGAAAAGTCCACATCACATCTCAGCTATAGAACTACAGCAGCATCTGTTATAGTACACTCTATGATGCCATTAACACAATATTCCTCTTGTATAGAAAAGTCCACATCACATCTCAGCTATAGAACTACAGCAGCATCTGTTATAGTACACTCTATGATGCCACTAACACAATATTCCTCTTGTTGTAATAGAAAAGTCCACATCACATCTCAGCTATAGAACTACAGCAGCAGCTGCTAGATATTGACAAGAAACTCAATGACCTTGAGTTGAGAGGACGTGACCTGGAAGACTCCATTCGACAAGGTCATTATTTTTTTCTTTATTTCCTGGTTGTAAATCATTTCTGTTTTCATCAAGTTTAAAGTTAACCCAAGTTTAACTGAGTTAATTTTCCTTGCATTTTTAAAATCGTTTTTGTTTGTGTTATTATAACTGAACATGCACTGACCTCTGTGTAAAATTATAGCTATATTATTAGACTCTTTCTCTCATGCACATCTTTTTGTATCTAAAGAAATTCTAGTCTAAGGAAAGAATTTAATATTATATTGGATTCTCTTTTTAGTAATCTCCAGGTATTATGTTGGAAATAACTGCTATAAGAGATTAAATTAATATTAATAGTTACCGTAGTCAAAATAGTCAAAGCATTTAAAATTTTATTTTTCCTGATGTTTTTACTTTTTAAACAACTTAAACATTTCTGATAAATATAGAAAATTTGCTACTAGCCATTAAACTGTAGCATATCACTATTAAACTGCACTAAATCCATGCAAGCATAAAAAACTATCAATATGTACTAATGTTTCAACAAATACTAGAGTATAACATTATACTCAACATTAATCATTTATATATTTGCATTTAATATGAGATAGTACTACTTAATTTGCCTATTTTCTTATATATAAAATGCACCCTGTATTGTATTATATTATAGTGTAGAAGAAAAGCCCAGTGCCCATTAATTTTTAATCACTCTTAATGGATTTTCATTCATGCCTTTGAGTATTTAAGGTGATTACATCACCAGAAATAAACCAATATATACCATATGACTACATAACATACCTCTTTGAATTTACTTAAAACAAAGTAAATTATAGTTTAAAAAAGATAGGAGAGTCATAAAAAATGTTTATTTGTCCAAAATATTTTCTAAAGCAATAGCACTTAATCAGTTTTTAATGCAGTGTTATAAAAAAGCTTTAATATCCATAGATGTTAATTAAATTTTATACGTAACATAAAACATTCTTAATAAATCATAAAAAATATATCTCAGTCTGCCAGATATTTAGAGTTCTTTTTAAAAAAAAAACCAACTGTTCTTTCAACTCATCTTTGCAACCTCCATGTACCTTAGCTTAACTAACCCAGAGTGTGTTTGACCATGATTCTAACATTTCAGATGGGAAAGCAGTCAGAAAGCAAACCATACACTTAAAAGGGTATATATACGTAACCATTTTATCAAAACATTTTTTTTTCTTGGACTCTAGTAGGCTGTTGTTTTAAATAAACTTTGTCACGTTTTTTGGCTCAGTCTGGATACCAAATCAGGAGATGCATGCATTTTTGTGTGTTGTGATTTTTAATAAGAAATTCACAGCATTGAATGTTATTGTCTTAGGCAATAGATTTTGTAGTGTCACAATTTTAACACTGTTGCAGCTTTGGTGAAGATTTTTTGCCAACAATTTAAAAACCTATCTTGCTTTGATAATGCTTCTATGTTAAAAGAATAAATTGTAGCCAGGAAAAACGATATATTTCGCTTTCTGATCAGTTTATCCTATTATTTTTTAATAGTAATTTTAAAAATTATCAACATTTTTAAAAATGAGCAAAATCTATTGTACTTTGCCTTTAATACTTTTAAACAGAATAAATATGTTTCATACAAAAACATCATTCATACTATACTTAAACTATCATACTGCATGCTAGTAAACTGTAAATGAATGTTTCTGAGTAGATGTAACTGAAATTGTGTTGACAAATTAATTTACTTGTTGCTTACCTCATTTCACACTTCTTACCTTCAGCAACTAGATGATCCTAACATATCTGCTACCTGTCTGTGAGGAATTAATGCTTAAGCTAAATTATTACATTTGTAAATAATGGTCAACTTAGTTGTAATACTAAGAAAATAAAACACATAGTCTACAGTATTTATATTGTATTGTAGCAAGTTTCCTGTAGTGTGATATGGTAGTTATTTATTTTGATTTAGTTTCGTTTAAGAAAGTTTATCATCAACTTACAACTGATCAACTGGAATAATGATTTAAAGATTCTACCCATCTTCCTATCTTCCTCTTCTCTGCTTGAAATAGTTATTTTTACTTCCCTTATTTCCATCAAAGATTCTCATCCTTCCCATTTCATTCCCTGATTACTCTCTTTCATTGAGCATTAACTTCTTTTAATGTTTGCCATTTTCATTTATTTATGTCCTTGATACTACAGAATGGATACTCTCAGCTTATCTTTAAAATGTTTTTCTACTGAGAAAAATATTTTAACTTCTCATTTAAAGAGATGGAAAGTTGGCTTTACAAAATGTAAAGTGCTTTATACTAAGCCTTGCTGGAAAAAATTAACTATTAAAAAGTGCATTGCTACAAACGCTTCTATTATTTTAAATTTTTCTTTGAGAAAAAGAATGATTGAGTTAATGTTTTGTTTTTGTATTTAAATAATAAAGAATATTGTTTAAAACAGTGGGGTTGGTGAATTCTTAGAATTATATTTTGTTTTACTTCATTGGGAATGTAGGAGATACTACTGCATATAAAAACACATAAAAATAACAATCTATATATTTTATGCATTAATTTTTATTATGTAATGATGCATTTTCATTATATTTTTAAAAATAAAATTGCGTTATATACTTTATTTTATTATTTAGTAACCTACTATTGAAACGTCTTTTTGTAAACATAACATTTTAACGCAGTGTTGTAATTCACTTTCTGTAATAAAATAATTCTAAAATAAAATTAATAAAGTATAAGTCTGTAGCTCATTCACATTTTGTATATTTCAGTATTTCTCATTAGTAAAAGTAAAATACATACTCAACAAAAATATTGAATATTCTTTTCCTTTAGGCAAAATATGTAACAAACTTCTCTGTTGATCTGTAAAAGTGGATATTCAATCACATTCTAATTTTTCACTTAATTTTTTTGTACACAGTCAGGTCACTTATTTTAAAGTGTTTTTCACATTTCAATTATTATTTTTTGCATTTTTACATCCTATTTTTATTTATTCAAGTACTTTTATCTTTGAAAGGTTAATTTGAAATTCAGCATATAAATAAAACAATTTTAAATAAATTTTACTGTAGATTCACTGTCAACTAGGAATCATCAAAACCATTTTAATAGTTTTCATTGACTTGTGAGTTCCACCTTCCACATCATAAATTTAAAAAATTATATTTTGATTCTTATAATTGTCCAAGTCTGAATTTTGTATTGTTTGACTACTTTCAGTCAACACATATGAGGAGGAGGATGAGCTGATGCTGGAGTGGTTTACGTTAGTCAGTGAGAAAAATGATCTGGTGAGAAAAGAGGCTGACCTGGTCTATATGTAAGTCTTTTCTTCTTTGTGGAAAACATTTTTAATTGTTAATATATGCTTGAACAGTCAGACATTTTTTTTTTCATGTTTGAATGTGTTAGTTTTTTCCATATACAATATGGCTTATTTGATTCTTTGTATCTAGATCTACATTTGTGGTAAATGTTTAGTTCTGTTTTAAATGTATTATCGAATGTCTCTTGCTTTTTTTTCTCGTACAGATCTAAAGAGCAGGAACTAGAAGATGACCAAGACCAAATTGAGTCCCAACTCCGCTACATTATGACCATACCAGGTGAATTGTACTTTTATTACATACATAAGGGCCATAACACTGGGAGTTAGGAAAACAAAGGCCTAATGTAGCTTGTAGGTAATAAATTTTATTAGGGTTTAGAGATGAACAAATTATTGAATAGTATAAAAAAAAAACTCGTCATGTCTAGTAATAGTTTACAATTTTTTTTTTTTCATGACCATATCGCAAATTTAAATTTGTAATTTTAATTAAACATGGTATTTGCATTTATCTCTAATTTAAACCTAATAGAGGAATCCAAATCTCCTGCTGAGAAGCAAGAGGAAGAATATTTAATCAAAAAGAAACTGGAACTTGTTGAGCAAAGAAATCGCATAGTTGACAGCATGGATGAAGATAGATTAAGGTGAGCACTGAAGCCATTTTAATCTGTTATGTTTATACTTGTAAATAATACATTTTGCAACAATTTTAAACTGCTAAGCTGTATTTTATGTTTTTTGTATTATTGTTTTAAATAAAATGCTATCAACATGCCTTATGTTATCATACTTTTAAAACTAATAAATTAAATTCCCAATAAATCTGTTATGTTACAAATGGTTTGTCTGTAGCAGTTCATTCATTAGCAAGCAAATATTTATTACCTATTTGATTATTTTAAATATTTGCTTGCCATGCCTATGTTCCCAAATCATAGGATTCAAAGTGTGTCTTTTCTCAGTAATTTTTATTTATTCCAGATATCAGGAAGAAGATAGACATTTAGCTGAAAAACTGAAGGGCAAAGGTAAGACATATAGCTAATTAAACAAAGCTTTTTCAATTATTTATTTTTCTAACAAGTTCTGTACAATCTCTTAATTGAAAATACCTGTTCATTTTTTTTACCATATTCAAGTTTACAAGTGTAGTTTAATTAACATCTTTTTATTCCTTTCAGGATTTTTAAAGAATCCAAGTGCCACTCTAATAGCCCAGAAAGGGAAGAAAGTAGCAAAGTCAAAATTTTACACATAACCCAGGCCCTGTGATACTGATCCTCTTTTTTTTTTTTTTTCGTGGACTGCAAATCCTTACAAGTTCATCTAATGTTGGCAATTGCAATGAGTTTTAAGCTTAAAAATATGGACTGGACTGCATTTATGCTGATGTAAATAAAAATAAAATGAAACAATATATGAACCAAATGAATTTCTGGCAACAACTTCAACACTTTATTGGAGGTTGGAAAAAATATCTGTACAAACTTTGTTTATATTAACCTGTGGTTTTTCTAGTCACTTGCCTGAATTGATTTAATGGAAACAGATTTTAAACCAATGTTGTGATTTTGTCCCTTATGGCTTCTCTGACTACCGTTACGCTGTTGTGTATGTTATAAATTTTAAATTCCTTGTCTTCAACATCCAGTGAAGAAAATTATTTTTAAACTCTTTTTTTTATTTTGTCTTGCAAATAACATTACCAATAGACCAGCTATTTTTTTAAAATTCCAAAATGGACCAGTTATTTTTGTGTTCCAAATACTTCATAACGCATGCTTCAACAAAGGTGCTTTACTTATTCCTTCTAAGCTACTCAGGCATGTAAAAAGACTTTAATAAAATAAACTATTTATACTATATATTACTCATACAAATCACCATAAATGCCTTTTATAATATGTAAATAAAATTCTTTTATACCACTAAACTATAGATATAAATTTTTTTTAGGGTGGACTTGTTTATTTATTAATCAGGTGTATATTTAAATTTAGGGTAGCCTACCAGTCACACCTGCTTATGGGTAAATTTAAAGCAATTTTTCTTAATATATAAACCTTTTTCCTTTTTTAAGAATTTTTTTTTTATTACAAAAAGTTAACGCTTTATAAACTTAATTTAAAATTTGGTTATCAAGACTTAGAGAATCCTAGGATTTAAAAGTTATTTTATTTCAAAGCTGTTAAAAAAATTATGTGTAGAATAGTTTGGATAGAATATTTCTAAAACTTTGGAATGATAAAATAAGGATCTATATTGTAGCATTTTTTGGTTGTGTTTTCTTAAAACTGAGCATAATCACATGGGCATCATTACTGCTTTATATTCTTCTTGATATTTTACATCTTGCTTGTTCAGAACAACCTACTGGTGCTTATTTTACTCATTTTTTAAAATTTTGCATTATATAGCAACTTGAATTAAAGTCATAAACAATGCATATGTGATACCATGTTTGAGCTAACACTGATACAGTAAACTGATTGTGATTGGTTAGAATCTATGTGTACAGCTTCCATTGGCTGAGAGATTAGCCTTAAACCCCATCCATAGATTTCATGACTCCTGATAAAGAAGCCAATATTTTATTTCTTTCTGTGTTACCTGTCCTTATGAGTATGTAACAGATGTTACTAACTATGTTAGAGAATTAACACATTTCCATATTTGGTTATCTTAGTACATACAAAATATTCTGCATTCCTAATTTATCAATCAATTGTGCCATACTCCCATTTATGAAAGTTCTAAACTTTTTAAACAGAAATATATATAACAAAGTTGCATTTCACTAATAAACTGCATGGTGCTATTTCATTTCTTATTTTGTATTTAAATATATTTTAGCCTTGCGCTAACACTAGGCATTTTAAACTGCCTTTGTAAATTGCGTTTGTTTTATACATGCAAAAATCATTATCAGCTAAATGAATTTGTCCATGCCCTAATGCACATTATTAAGTGTTTGATTATAGGGAAAATTGTTTTTCAATATTACACATTATTATAATCAAATTTTGATTGCTAACTCAAAGAAAAATTAATTTATGAACTTACTCATACAATTTAAAGCATCTAGTTTTTTTTTTATCTTGGTAACAGCTATGGAAACCAAACTGCTGTATAAGTATCACATATATCAGAATATTGTACTACAGCATAGACTTGACACTGCAACAGTTATATGGCGGTATTCATTCCATCATTATTTTATGGTCATGTTTCTTAATCATTGACTGTCATAAATAAATTTTTTATTTTTTAGTAATTGTAGCTCATTAAAAAAATAGTTTGATTCGGTGAAAATGCTTATGTGCTGAGGTCTTTTTGTAAACAGTTTCTAACAGAGCCCTCCATTTTTTTAAGCTTTCATACATTCCTTGCATTATTCTTTACTTAAAATGCATCTGCTTTCATAATTTGTTTGATAAAATCGTGTGCTAACTCTTTCACTCCATCCCTAAGCTGCTGTATAAACAGGTTGACATTTTAGAGTTATTTTTCTTGCTAGTGCAGTTTCACAGTTGAATTTTAGCTTTGTACATGATTAGGTGAACATGTTTTTTTTTTTGTTCTGGTTGCGTAGGTTGAAACCACCATTTATTTCAATAAGTCCATGCGCGAGATTTTAATTCAAAGAATACAAGACGAACTCATGAGTTGAGAGCCAGGCCATGAAAGAAAGTATCAAGTTAAAGATTGAGACACTTGGGTGCTTCATTACCAAAGTGTAATCATCTTTACAAAGTTGGAACTTTTCTTCATACAAAATATCACTTTAAATGTGTGGAGGATTGGCATGGCGTAGACTACTGGTACATTCATTGTATTTCACTGTAGGCTCTTTTTTAAAAAATAACCAGTGTACATCCCGATGTTGAAATATTTTTTAAGAAACTTAATATACTTAAGTTTTTCTAACATTTACTGCGCTAATAAGACAATATTTTTTTAAAGTATATTTTACTTTTTTGATTATCAGGTTTTCAGATATCAGGTTCTATTTAGTTTACCTGTAATTCTTTTAAAATAAGTTTAAAGAAACTTTTTAATGATTTTTTTTTTCGTGATGTTGGAAAAATTCTAAAATAAAAACAATGTTCTATTTGAAGTTGTGTTAATTATTTCATTTTTTTTTTTCTTAGATCACACCACATAAACAGTTAAATATATACAATGTGAAATCATTTTTATTTCAATTGCTGAGAGAGTAAGAGTAAGTAATAACACTGATTTAAGCTTTCTTCCTAGTAAAGAGGTTTACTACAACTGTCCCAGATTCTTCAAACATTTATATATTAAGGACAATGAAAAAAGAATTAATGTTGTCCAACAGTTGGTGGATTTTTATTAACATAAACTGATTGAGTTTGGCGAGCTCTGGTGAGTATAGAGGTGGCTGGACAATTGCAACCACACAAACCTAAGTATATCATGATATGTATGGTAGGTCAGACCTCTTGCTTGTCTGGTCTCAAAGGGTAGTTTTACAAACATTCTTGTCTTTAAAAACATAAGTATTCTAGATATAAAATGGTAAAGTTTAGAAAAACAAATACAGGCTGTTTGTTTATATCATTTGTTTATTGTGATGGCACAATGCTGGGCAAGTGAAAAAAAAAATTGAATGAAAGACCAGAGTTAACTTGTGTTCACATTTGCTAAAATGTTAAAAACTCAATCAGTGCGGGACTATTCTGCTCAGCACTCTGGATAACATGAGCTTATCTAATTCGAATATTAACATTAAACTGATAACTAAGTTTAAAGGGAGATAATTTACATTATATGCACAATGTTTATCTGTTCAAACCATTTTTTTTTCCAGTATTCAATATAATTATTTTTATTAAAGTCAAAATGGATTTATTATAAAATCAACTATTTTTCCTTTTAGAAAACTGTTTATTTTTAACATTTATAATAAAAATTATCAGATTGCAATTTAATTTTAATTTTTAATGAACCAGGAAATTTTTTTTCTTAGCAAAATATTTGTAAAAATAAATAGTAAAATGTTTATCAAAAAATCACAAAGCGCTTTAACTTGATTTGCAGGGTGACAAAAACACATCCAACAGAAAAACTAAGGAACATCAGGTTAATTGACTTTTCCTTTTATCATTTTCTATAGCTTTTTGCAGTCGTTCTGTTTGTTTTTTGTCGATTAAAACCATTTCTCTTATTTTCTGAAAATAAATGAAACAATTTCTTCAGCAACGGAACATGATAAAGAATCAGGGGTTTGATTACAACTAAAACAAAAACATGGTGGTTTACATCTTTCTAGATATTATTTGTCATTTGCGAAGTGTCTTGCCTATTCAAGCAAAAAGATTGAGTCTAAAAACATCACAATATTCCCCAACCATAAATAAGTTACTCTGCCAATCTGAAGCCATATAACAACACTTGTTGCAACATATTAAGCTATAAAGGAAAGGGATGTAAACACTGTTTCTCTTTACCTGTGATATTTCTGTAGCAATTATGGTCCTGTACTGGTCACCTTTACCCAAGGCTTCCATCTCTCTTAGAAACTCCTGTCTTTCTTGAATTTCATTTTGTACTAAAAGGAAAAATCAGAGACGAAACTTTTGTCTTTATTGAATTTCATTTTGTAGTAAAATTAAAACTTTAAAAAATTTCCTTCTGTAGTAAAATGAAAGCAGAAAAGGAAACAAAACACGAAATTTTTCTTTCAAAAACAGATTTCTAACAAGTAAGATACGATGTCAACTATGAATGTTTCCTTACACATTAACAACAATGAAATACAATTTTGTTTAGCTTTCATGGTTCTAGGAAATCCCTAGTTTGCCATAAGAAAGCTCATACTATCTTATGTGCCCATGGTATAATTAAAGTCACTGGTAAAGCCTCTCAGCATTTCTTCTTTCACTGGGATCTGCGCTGTTCATTTAGATTACAGTTAGCTCTAATTATTGCCAGTAATACAGTTAAGAGGCTCTGCCTTGTGGAGTGTGCCACTATTCATCAGCTTAAAGACTAAAGTTGCCATGAAAATTAGCTTGTTTGGAGAAATCAGAGCTATTGGCTTTTTGAGCCAGAATAAAATCAATAGTGGATGGCAGGGTAAGAAACTGTAAAGCTGGGATGTTGCAGTTGTCAAGCACAGAGCTAAGCTGATTATGGCTCTAAGTCAGGCACCTGAAGGGATAATGAGAATAGATCTGTAGCTAAGAACGAGGTTAATAACCAAGTGCAAAAGTTTTTATAGAACCATCTAAGGTTCAAGGTAATTGAAATATTTGAGATAGAGGAGGAAAAATACGTAGGAGTGGAGTGAATTGTTTTTTTTTTTAAAGTATCCTTTGCAGATAGATACCAACTTTTAAGACGAAATAATTTACAATTAATAAATACAATTTACAATTAATAAATAATTTAAAATTAAAGAATAATTTTAAAAAAACTTAAAATGGAAATATAACTCTTGGCACTTATTATAAAAATAATATTCCACTTTAGACAATTAATTAATTGTCTGTTTAGTTCTTAAATTGATTGCCTAGTTATAACAATTTCTGTATAGTACAATTAATAGGTATATAATACACACATTTTAAATCAAGGTAATTCATTTTAAAACCATGGAAAGCACAAGCATTGATTCACTGACCAGTAAAAGCTAATTTATTTTAGTATCATAGCATTAATCCACAACAGCAGTAAAAAAAACAGTTTACTTATTTTAGGACCACATAAGTACAAACATTAAACCATGACAACAGTAAAAATAAAAGTTTTCTTTCAAGAGAATAGTATGTACAATCATTAGCCCACAACACAACTAAAATAAATAAGTGAGCTAATTTTTGGACATAAGGATGCACAAAAATTAACCCACAAAAACTAGGAAAAAGTAAATTGATTTATTTTAGTACCATTGAATGTACAAGCATTAGCCCACAACATTAGTAAAAAACACCAGAGTGAACTATTTTTTGACCTTAGAATACACAAATATTAACCCAAATTCACAAGTAAATAGTAAGTTTATTTTAATACCTCAGGCTGTACAAGCATCAGCCCACAACAACAATATAAATACTCACATTCATCAAATCTGTCTGGTGGTGGAGGCAAGGGTTCTATTGGTTCAGTCAATCTTTTTGTTTTCCCTTTAGGTTTGTCTTCCCCAAATGCCATGATATTTGCCAGTCTCTCTTTCTCTCTTGTAGACCTGGTGACTGAGTAATCAAGTCAAATTTAATCTAATTCTAAATAATTTATTGTCAATAACATAAAAAAAAAACCTCTAACAGTGTGTAACAAGCACTAAATTTAATGTCTCATTCAACCAATATTTTCCCCATTAAACCAGATGATGCTCAGGTAAGATATGTGCAGTATACCTTTTTGTAAAGTAATGTTATGTTGTCATAAAGTAATGTTACGTTGTCATAATGTTATGTTGCCAGTATGCTGGTTTCACTTGAGTTAGTCCTTTGTGGCTCCTAGGAAGTAAAGGGCTGCAATTACACCTCTCCACCAGACTTGGTTGTGGGCCTCTTCTACTACCATTCTTCTCCATGATCTCTTAGGCTGGCCTACTTTCCCTCTTCCTTGGTGATTCCAGTCCATAGCTTTCTTTGTGATATTATCTTCGTCCCTTTTAAGGGTATGTTTATCATTTACAGGCTTTGATGTCCTGTTATTTTGTGTTTTGCCACAGGTCTTTATTTTTTATTTTTGTCTGGCCATCTTATTTTGAGGATCTGTGGTAACCATCTGTTTGTGAACTACTGTAGCCTGTCTGTATTTGTCTTCATGTTGCCAGTACGCAAACTAGTTTTTTGGTGAACTGAAGGTAATGAAATTCAAGACCTTCATGTCATTACACTCCATAGCCAACAAACAAAATTTTAGTAAACCTTCTGATAGTATACTCTACAGCTGACATATATATTTAACTACATGAGACACACAAAAAAACTTACTTCCTTTCAGAGAGGCCACATATTCAGGTTTTTCAAATGCCCCCATGGCTTCCATTGTGTTCTTTGACCTCAACCCACCTGAGTAAACTCTAAATGAAATAGAAGTCATAAAAATTGGTACTTTGTAAATATATTATCTAGAAATAAATCGTCCTTTGATTAAAATTACTGAACATTCACAAATAAAATTGATTTTTGCAACAAGAAATATGACCAGAAAAAAAGTATGTGCTCGAACACTTACTTTGGATTTAGAACTTTAGGTAAAGGTGCCAGTTTCTTAATTTTTCTATGATCTGATTTGGAAGATGTTGGTGCCACATAATCAGGCAAATTTTTTCCATCTAAAATAAACAATGTCAGATTGGTTCAATAAAAACGGATTACCACCATCTGATTATAGTTATAAATTAAAACCTAACATAAAAAGTTTTAGTTTCCCTTATAACTGACATCTATTAAGATACTACTACAATACATGTTCCAGTTTACCCCACTGGAGGGAAAAAGGTACTGCCTATCTAAAACAATTTGTTTTGCTGCTATTCTTCAATCCAAATTTTTTAACAACATAAGCTTTTGCTTACCTTTTAATGTTTGTTGTATTTTTCTTTGTTGAAAGTTTGTCAACTTAGATTCTCTCATCATCTCTAGAAATGTTGACAAAATAGAAACAGTGAGAATATAGGAGTTTTTCAATATGTCATTCAGAAAATTTCTTCATCACTTCAAATTTGGACACAAATTTTAAAAAGTATAACATTTTAAAACTATTTTAAAATTATTGTAAATTTGTGAATGACTTCATCTCGATATCAATGTATATTATCATCAATGTGTCCAGTTTGTGCCCAAAACACTTAGGGTAAATGAAGTAGAGTTAACCTGTTTTGATATCTTGACATAAAGTATTGTCAGCACTATGCTCAGCCACTTTTCCTTAACATGAGTAACAGGTAATCATTAGAATTAGATCGTCTTAGTCAACTCTGGTAATGATTGAGAGTATGTTTTTGGGAATAACACTAGGATTGAAGTCACAGTAAAGTTGAATAAAGTCAAGTGCATTGTATTTCTTGGAACAAGTTTTTATTTTTAATTATCAATTTTTATTATTGTATATGGGGCCTAACATGGACAAGACCTAAAGAACAAAATTTTTAAAAATAAGTTGATGAGTAGTAAAAATAAAGGTAGGCATAGGCCTATTCTTAGTTAATCTGATTGATTCTAGTAATCTAGTAGTATTCTTTATTTGGCCCTAGCTAGAGTCTAGATCGATATAATTTAACAGTAAAAAAAGAGTAGTCACACCTAAGTTTATAGTTTATAGTAGATTTTAAATCACTTACAAGATGTTGAGGTGAATAGTTAGACAAAAAATTTAAATTCTTAAACTTATAACATAAAACACAAAAATATACCTTTAAGCAAATCATGAGTTTGCTGACTATACGTAACTTGAGGAGCATTCCACAGACCTCCGTTGCCCGACATTTTGACGCTTTCTCCGCTGCTAAGGCGTCACTTCCGGTAGGGTAAGTAAAAACACTTTTGCCTTTTGAATTTTAAATTCGCATACTTATTTTTGTACTAAGCCTGTAAAATTGTAATTATAATACCTTTTCAATGCGTATTGAAATGAAAGACGGATTATGCAAAAAAAAAATTAAAAAATAAAATAAAAAAAACATTTAGTTTTTTTTCTAAATGAATTCATACGAAAGTAAAGAAATGTAGAATTTAATTCGATATAAGGCATTAAAAGGGGGTGGAATTTGAAAGTTCCTGGGGAGGTAAGCGGACAGCTGTAAAAGTACGCTATATTTCTGTATTATTTATATATATATAGTCACACACACACACACACACACACACATATATATATATATATATATATATATATATATATATATATATATATATATATATATATATATATATATATAACGCTAGTGGTAGTGTGTCAGTCAGTCATCGCTATAGATTTTGGGAGAGGGTGGACGTACTCTGTAGGGCACTGCCCCCCATTCCCCCCCCCCCCCCCACTTTTTTTTCCATTGCAGAGATGCTTGAAAGGGGTCGTCCATAAATGACGTCACACTCGTAGGGGGGATGGGGGTCCGTAATTTTGCGACGGTGTGTATTGAGGGGGAGGGGGGGGGGCTCAGATGGTGGGACGTCACTTTTTTTGCATTATAAAAAGGCAATGTTAGAAAACGAGTTTTAGCCGTTATTTCGCGTTTTAGAAAACGGTTTTAATAAATTGTAATAGGAATTGATCAAAATACTCTATGCTGACAGAGTTCTGACAAGATTTTGGAAACATATCGATGTTTTAAGAAAAATTCAACAGCAATTCTGAGAGGGGGGGGGGGGGTTGTAGGCTAAGATGTGACGTCATTTTTGGAGGGGAGGGGGTCTGGCTTTTTGTAACAATTGTCAAAAAAAAGCGTGACTGGCGTATCTGGAAAGTTTGAACGAAATCGCTGCATTAGAAGTGGTTCAAAATTGATTTACAAAATCTGCCACAACTCACAAACAGACATTGTTAACGAAATGAAAGCTTTATTTCATTAGCGCTAACACTACAGCTAATAAAGTAAAGTTTGCCTTTCAAACCTGACGGTCTATGGGGCAATTGACGTAGAGTTCACTTGTTTCTCTGACCTGGAATATGAAGAGATAGTGTGGTCAGCACTATGCCCAGCCGCCTTTACTTTCCCTAACGTGAGTTGGGTACCCGTCAGAGTTGGGTGGACTCAGGGAAGGTCTACTGACTTGAACTCGAGACTTACGGGTTAGCAGTCCAGCTCTCTACCGCTAGACCACTCCGTCCAATACAGCTCATAAGCAAACCGTTATTTTCTTTGCTTGAGCATTGTACATAATAACCTACAAGACGGTTTTTTTTTTTGTAATGTTACCTTACTGCACGTCAGGCGCATACATATCTCCACATAGGTCATGTTTATCTACTCGACCGTCAAACCAACCAACCTGACGACATTGATGACAGATAGCAGACGCCAGACTCCCAGCGCGCCCCACCGTCACGGTCCGCTGACCAGCAGCCTACGTCATCAGGTTGTTTATAACGAGGCCGCTCACGCCCCGGGACCCAGGCAGCCCGTGGGCCAGTGGTGAGGATAAGCTCGTGCATTTGGTCGCAGATCACGTGGTGTTTAGACAACTTTTAAAATAAATAAAGTACTTTGATTTGTTTAAAGAACCTTAACAGAAAACGTACAGACCTACTCGGATAATTTTCCCCATCAAGGCTAAATTTATTTTGTTAGTTATTTAAAAGGGAGAAAAAATAATGAATGCGCAACAAATGTTGAATATAACTAATTGTGAGAACGGCACTGTAAGTTTTAATTTTAATTCTATTAATTTCGTTTGTAGGAAATTGTTTTTGTAAGCTTTTATTTATTGCACAATGTCTGTGTGCTTTCTGTCCTTCTGCCCTTTTCTGTCCTTCTGCTCTTCCTTAATTTGTAGCAAATCTTGTAGCTTGGTTTTGATTCACTTTCTGTACGTTTCGTTCCCAATTTCCAGAAACACGCCTCAGTACCCAGAGCCGACTATAGATACTAATCCGTGTTGATACTAGTCGCTTTAGAGTCATTATCGCCAGCTACTGAATGGGGTTTAAAGTTTAAAGTATAATTTTTGGGAATTAAATTATCTACTTATTGTTTTAAATTATTGAAAATTCAAAATAAAAATAAAACTACAAAAAAAAGTATATTCTTTTTAAAAAAGGTATCTTTTACATGCAGTAACAACAAGATAAATACAACAAATTTGCTTTGTTTAGTAAAATATTGGTCTCTCTCATGCACATAAGTTTTTATAACGACCGATTCTTTTGCTAAAGAAAGCAAGTTAAATGAAAATCTTTTCTGTTTTTTTTATGCAAATGCTAAAGCTTGTTAAAATAAACGGTTTTATTTTATCTTTAATTTACAGTAGACATTTTAATTTTAGCTATAATAAACTAGTTGATCTACACTTAAAAAAAAAGTAAAAAATAAGAAAATGAAAAATGTAGGCTGCTTGCTACAGTACCTGAAGTCTTGATTGTTACATTTTCTTTTAAACACTTCCAGCTTATTCTTTACTTAATGCTTAGGTAGTCCATCAAATTATTAAGGTGTATTAATATATGTATATTGGAACGCACAACTATATCAAAGGTACAACAATCAACAACCTAACATTAGAAATACGTGGAACAAAACAAAGCTCCAAATATTCAAGATCTACAAATTCTAGATCTCTCCCCTTCTTTCGCAACATATCGCACTAGTTCAAAGAAAAAAATAAATAAAGAGCTATTATTTTTAAAAAATGGAAAAACTAAATACATTACTACCCCCCCCCCCTCCCCACTACGACGTCTATTAATGTTATTAATGTTAAAAATGATGCCCTAATTTATTAATTAAAACCGCGCTGTCATTTTTAAGCGTCATTTTGCAACAGCCACAAAACTTACACGGCTGAAATAATAGATACAAACACAATTCAACATCCACAAAACAACGTAAAATGTCCAATTATTTTCATAAATTTCCTTAATTAGCGAAAACAATTAGGCTATGTAACCTATTTGGCGTTAATTAGGAATGTGTTTGCGATAATTACACAAATAATGTCGAATAATAATGTCAATACTGTTTCAGAAAAATCAGAAGTTTTTAATTTTGATTTTTTAATAAGAGCTTGTCTGCCACCTAATACATAATAATCGTTAATTAGCAAGAACAAATACACGCTTTAGTTGTCCATTATCCGAGCCATATTTGTAACCTTTTTTTAAATTTCCAGAGTCTGTAGTCCATCTATGCAGAATATTGATAAATAGCCTTCCTGCTAGAATTCATACTGTTGCACCTCATTTAGTAAAATGTTCGTTATTAGAAGCTTACAAACATTACTAGACAGTCTAAAACATAGTAGCATAAACAATTAAACTTTTTTTTAAACAGCTTAACCATAACGAAAATCCCTGGGGTATGATTCATACTAGTGTCCAAAGAATAAAAAAAATAAAAACTATTACAAAATACACATGAAGAAAGAAATCTTTAAAATGGATGTTAGGTTACTAGTTGTAGGATATCAACAAATACAAGTAAACTTCCACTATAGACTTAGCGACCAGGGGCGGAACTACAGTGCCGCCAGATCCCGCAATGCGGGGAGGGGGGGGGGGGCACGCTATTTATGGGCCCACAGCCGACCATAATAAATTTTTGTAGATAAAAAATATTGATTTTCTTGCTTTTTTGACTTGGTGGTTGCTTTGTAAAAAGAATGGTGTAAAAGCGGTTTGATTATCTTTATTCTATAGACACCATTCCACGCTCTTGTATATTCTTTTTCCCTTGGTTTTTAAACCATAAGCTGTAGTATCAAAGATAGGCTAACGTTCAATACACTTCCATGACTTATTTCCCTTTTTTAAATAGTTAAATAGGGGTGCTCATAAGATCCTTTTAATAGATTTGTACTAAACAAGTTAAAAAGCAATTACTTCTCTTAACTATTATTTTAAAAAAAATGTAATAAAGAATGACATAGTATAAAAAGGAAATGTATTTATAATTAAAAATATAAATGCCGAAAAAACATAAAATAAACACAACACGAGAAACCATTGCACAAACAAAGCTTTCACGTTTTTTTTTTTTTTGACCAGCTATAGGATTAGAAGTAATACCCGTCAAGCAAAAAAAAAAAAAAAAAAAAAAAAAAAACGATTTTCAAAACAGACTAATGCGCTTACACACATGTTATTGTAATTAGTTATAATTAAAAAAAAAAACCCCACCAAAACAATGACATTTTTTTCAAAACCCGATCTGAGGGCCCAGAAATTTTTTTTTCGCGGTGGCCCTTTTTTTCTAGTTCCGCCACTGTTAGCGACCCATTGAGTAGATGAAGTAGAGTTTATTTTTCTAGACCTCGGCAAATGGAGGGATGGTGTGGTCAGCATTATGCTCTGCCACCTTTACTTTCCCAAACGTATGTCAGGTACCCATCAGAGCTGAGTGGACTCAGGGACGGCCTACAGTCACAAGTGCAAACCGAGATCCGAACAAACTACTCGCCCCCCCCCCCCCCTCAAAATTGCATTTAAAAAATACAAATTAAAAAAAAAAAACACTATATACTGAACTTGGTCAACATCGAGTATTTAAAAACGCGAAATAACGGTTAAAATTCTTTTTAAATTTACTTTTTGAAATGCAAAAGTGTGTCGTCACACTTTCTGATCACCATCCTCTAGTCACACATTACAAAAGTCACCCCCCCCAATATGACGCTTAACCCTAATCCTAGCAGCACCTTTAAAAGAGATATCATACTACTAATACTAACCAGTGGCGTAGCGAGGTCGGGTGTCACCCGGTGCGGCACTTAATGGTGTCACCCCCCCCCCCCCCAGAGGCGTAGCGACCCTTCCCGGGGACATAACTTTCAATTTTCGATTCGCACCCCCCCCCCTCTCAAATTTTTCTCTATATATTTTGTTAATTTTTGCCTTGGTGTCACCCCCCCCCCCAAATGGTGTCACCCGGTGCGGTCCGCACCCCCTCCTCGCTACGCCACTGCTACTAACTTTACCAAAAACAAACGCACATTTTTTTTTGAAAAGTGCTGTCGTCGGAAACTAAGAAACTAAAAGGCGTAACACCCCTCCCCCTGTCTCTATTAAAACTGTCTCTTTAGGCTTAAACACAAACTCAGCAAATCACGTGATAGCAAGTTACACAAAAATGGTCCGTTGCCTAGGTAACACGGTACCCCTTGTTACATATGTTGATATATAATCCCGTTATTTGTGTTGGAGATTCGTTTAATTAGCGGCTTGTTGATTACTCTTCAAAGGATAAACTAAACATCTTTTAATTAAATGATTAGCCGATGTTGATCCGAAGTCGTTTATCGACCGGCGCCCATGTTGCAGCCTGTCCCCCATATCTAGTCTCTCCTACGTACGCCCATATCAAATTCTCATTAAAATGAGATTTACATTCGATGTGGGTAGATGGAGAATTTGTAGAGCAGAACGATCTTGTGATTATGGCATCGTTCTCCAGGGTTCGTTATCAGCTGATCACAAGTTGTAGACCTACTGCGCCTAAAAATGTGTTATTTTTGATGAGGTGTAAGAATTTGTTGCTAAACTGAGTGGAGGGGGGGGTGCTTTTCCACATGTATTACAGGTGAAAGCATCATAATCAGTGGCGTCACAAGGTACGGCTTCATCGGGTGCAACAACCTCGGGTATACCCAAGTGTTTCTTTCAGACTTTTTTCTCCGGGGGAGGGGGCACTTGAAATTTTCAGGGGAGGGGGAGACTGGTAAAAGTATATATTTTCTATATAATTCTATTTCGTTCGGGGGCAGGGGCGGTATACCTTCTTTGGGGTAGGAGAAGGTTGGCACTTCAATCACTTACGGAAGGACACACTTAAAATTTCCGGAAGGAGGGGGGGGGGGGTGTTGGGCTGACACTGGGAGAAGCCTGGAAGAAACTCTGGTGAAGAATATATGTTGGAAATATGGGCTAAATGGGGTGCAGGACATTACTCACCCTCACCGTTAATTACCCCCCCCCCCCACTTCCGGGACATTTGACCCGTCTTTATCCCGTGCCAGTTACCCCTCCCCCCCCCCCCCCTCAAAATATTATATACACAACATATTGCAAATACACTATTGTGGTAGTATATGGATAGTCTGTTGTTGTAGCACATGGACAGTGCTGTTGTAGCACATGGACAGTGCTGTTGTAGCACACGGACAGTGCTGTTGTAGCACATGGACAGTGCTGTTGTAGCACATGGACAGTGCTGTTGTAGCACATGGACAGTGCTGTTGTAGCACATGGACAGTGCTGTTGTAGCACATGGACAGTCTACTGCATGGACAATCGGTCGGTATGTGCGTGTTCATGCAAAAATCCAAAAACAATACCGTTTTAAACTTTGATCATTGCTTTAGATTCAGAAACCCTCGGTCCATTTTCTCGAAGCTCTTCACATTCCTAACCTTTTACACCTGCGGCTTAAGCTTTCCAATTAACACGGGAATCGACCACATTATTTCCCAATAGACCAAGATCACAGAGAACTGAACTTTACTTCCTCTGTCCCATCGACAGCCCTGTGTCAAAGGGTAATTTACAAGAGGCAAAAAGCTTTCATGAAAGAACTAATTGGTTCAGTGGCGGAACTAGAAAAAAAAGGCTCCCCCGCAAAGAAAAAATTAGGGCCCCCTATATATATATATATATATATATATATATATATATATATATATATATATATATATATATATATATATATATATATATCCTAACTGAGTATTTTATTGCAATATATCAGGGGTCGGCAACCTGCGGCTCGCGAGCTCCTTGCACAAATACTAATAATCTTAATAAAAAAATAAAATATTTGAAATAAAAAAATGTTAGTGGCTCTTTAAAACCAAAGCAATTTTGAAAATTGTAACTTTTGGCTCTTCCGCTAATGTATATCCATTCTAAGAGAACAAACCAGAAAAAAATTAGTCAAAACTCACCTTGTATTGCGAATGTTTCATTTACATGCTGGTCAAAAATATATAAAGACGTTAGCTTGATTCGTGATTGGTTTCTCGCGTTATGTTTATTGTTTTCATTTTTGGCTTTTATAATATCAATTTCGAAAATATTGATTTTTATATCTATACTATTGTATAGTACGTCTTATTGAAGTAACAATTCAGAGAATCAATTGCTTTTTAATATACATAGTACAAAACTATTTAAATGAGCTTTGTGGGCATCCCTATTTTAAAGAAGGGCAGTAAGTCGTGGAAGTAGTGTGAATGTTTACCTACCTTTCAAACTATAGCTCTTGTAGATTTTAAAATATCTTTCTACGCAACAGTCTCTGCTATAGTAGACCTGTTATTTTTTTTTTTTTTTACAAAACCACTTTCATAATTTTTGAAAAAAAAATTCAATGTTTTTTGGTCGGAACTGGGCCCCTAAACGTCCTGGGCCCCCCCCCCGCATTGCGGGGTCTGGCGGTATGGTAGTTCCGCCCCTGAATTGGTTTTTCCCCCTTATTTAGCCGTTTCTATCTTTTAAAAAAAAGTAGCCTATTTATTTTTTGACCTTGAACACTTTCAGACGTGAAGGTAGTGACGGAACGTGATATTAATGTCATTAGTCTTGATTGGTTATTGAGTTGGTGCCTTTGTGCTCACGCGCTTGGTTTCTTCCATCTTTTATTAAACTGGGTCATCGTCTGGTAACTGTCAATCACGAGCTAACTGGAGTGTGGATGGACTCGGTACATCCGGGTAACAGACCGGTGTCGGGTCAGTTTGATGGATCGTGCTAGGATAATCTAAACTAGGACTTGTTAGCAGACGATGATATTTTAAATTAGGGATTTGTTAAAATTTTAGTCTCAGCAGACCATTGCCATGATAATCTAAATTAGGACTTAAAAAATATTAGTCTCCGTAGACACTCAGCAATGCCAAGGTCGATTTGCTTGCCGCCAATACAGTATCGTATCGAGTTTTTATCTGTGGTATCGTACCACGGTCAGTGAGCTGGATCACAGTAACAAATCAATTAACTTCAGTAAGGGATTTCGAAAGAAAAACAAAATTGCGAATATTTTATATTTTACCACTCAGGTTTTATTTTTCTAATAATCAACTAAAATAATTTTAATTTAAAAAAAAAGTTTCAATATTTTTCTCCACGATACTGGATGATTAGGGTGGGCTAAATCGAGGATGTTTTTTTCAGCTCATTTATCTATTATTTCGGATTTAGTTTCAGACTCCAATAACTTTAATAATGCCGCGACATGAAGCGTTATCGCTCCGGCTTTGTCACGATATTACAGATAAAGTAGAGCTTACCTGTTTCGGCGCGGAAAGGACGAGTTCTTTAGCCAACCGCCTTTACTTGCTCTTAAGTCAGACACCCGCCAGGACTTGGTGGTACCAAGGACATAACTCAGGTTATAAGTGAAGCTCCAGACTTACATGTTACCAGTCGACCAGACAGTGTTTCTTCCCAGACTTTTTTCTCCGGGGGACACTTGAAATTTTCGTCGAAGAGATGTCTGGAAGTAACACTGGCTCCAGTTTCTTTCAGGCATTTCTTTGGGAGCCCCTCCGCCCCCTCCTACCCCCCATTCCGGAGCATGTCTATCCCCCCCCCCCCCCCCCGATAAAATAGAATTTTTTTACAAGAATTATACTTTAACCAGCGTCCGCCCTCTACTTCTGGAGATTTAAAGTGCGCCCCCCCCCCCCTCAAAGTTTTAAGAAAACCATCATCTTCCCCACGGAGAAAAATGTCTAAAAGAAACCCAGGTTCAAGTATCAAGTGAAGATTTCGTCTTATTATTCCCCTTGTCCCACACAGAGCAAAAGTTTCATACCTTGACTTAAAATCTTCGCAGCGTTTAACACATGTTGTACTCATACGAAACCAAGTCTATATCAACTGCTATTCCTTAGAACTAACTAAGACGACTCGCTAATATTTGCCTAAGTCTTTGTTTTCTCGTTATCTCAGGCACTATTCAACTCATCAATCGACGAACTGATCAACCTGTGTGATGACGTCATCACGCGGGAGACATGGGCAGGTGCAGAGGAACCTGTACAGAAGATGGTGCAGGTAATGGTGGTTGTATGTTGCAGGTGGGGGTTGCTTTACTTACATGGTTGTTGCTGGTTCGAGTACCGACTATGCAAGGGGTTTGGTGTGAGAACGTTCGAGTCTTTTACTCTTCTTTATTGAAATACATTAGACGTGAGTTCCTTTAACACAATTAAGCATTACGTGTCAACAAATGGGACTCCGATTTCAGCCTGCTTTTATTTCTGGCTTTACTTCCAAAGCCTTTGGTTAGCCAAGAACAAACTACAGGGCAGCAGTTGTTTGAGTTTGGAGATTTCACTCCAAGATGGATTGCTGTCCCCAAGCTACCGATTCCCATCTGCCCCGGGGTCAGAACTCGGGACTTTTGTTATTTTGTAGTTAGGCAGTGATGCGTACAACTACCCAACCACTCCGTCTTCTTCCTAGTCCTTTAAAATAGAGCCGTTTAAAAACAAATCTTGTTTGGTGATGTTATTTAAAATTAAACTAACTCATAGTAACAGAGAGTTATGAAAATGTGTTTTAGTAGCCTTTAGAATCTATCGAACTAATAGCCTCTCCTGTTGTCTATATTTAAATGCCTTGACTCCAGCAACCCCCTCTGGTGGAGTCCAACTTCCCCATGGCCGTGGTCTACATCGTCCTCATGGTCTCAGCCCTCGCCATCGGCTCCACGGGGAACGTCCTGATTCTCGTGACCAGCGCGTGCTTCAAGAGTCTCAGGAAGAGCGGCTTCATCTTTATCATCAACTTGGCCATGGCTGACCTCTGTGTGGCTGGGATAGCTGACCCCATGTGTGTTATAGGTGAGAGGTCAATGTTGCTGACCCCATGTGTGTCATAGGTGAGAGGTCAATGTTGCTGACCCCATGTGTCATAAGTGAGAGGTCAATGTTGCTGACCCCATGTGTGTTATAGGTGAGAGGTCAATGTTGCTGACCCCATGTGTGTTATAGGTGAGAGGTCAATGTTGCTGACCCCATGTGTGTTATAGGTGAGAGGTCAATGTTGCTGACCCCATATGTGTCATAGGTGAGATATCAATGTTGCTGACCCCATGTGTGTTATAGGTGAGAGGTCAATGTTGCTGACCCCATAAATGTCATAGGTGAGAGATCAATGTTGCTGACCCCATGTGTGTCATAGGTGAGAGGTCAATGTTGCTGACCCCATGTGTGTTATAGGTGAGAGGTCAATGTTGCTGACCCCATGTGTCATATGTTAGATGTCATAGCTGACCCCAATGCCCTATGTGTATCATAGATTAAAAGATCCTTGTAGTTGCAATTAGTGCTATTGAATTTAAGAAATTATTTAATCTAAACGTTCTAGATGAGGTGTGTGAGGTTGGGGGGGGGGGGGGGGGGTGGCAGTGGCGTAGGCAGGGGGGTTAGGGGGGTCATAACCCCTCCCCCATAGACCCCTCGGTATATATATAAAAAGTATGAGGGGGTGCAAATCGAAAGTTTGAGGGGGGGGGGTGCAAATCGAAAGTTTGTCCCCGGGTAAAAATTGGATCACCCCTTGAGACGATCATGGCTACGCCACTGGGGGGGGGGGGGGTATGAGTTTAGCTTTTCAAGGAAGGCACGACGCTGATTTATGTTGAAATAAAATTCAGTGAATGTTCATTTCTAGAACTTAAAACAAGTTGTTTAAACAAATTACACAAAAATATCAAATTTTAGCGGTAGTTGTTTTTGAAAACTCAGATATAATATTTAACCTAGCATCATGTATTTATCATCAAGTTTTGGATACCAATGACAACTCATATTTACCTGCAATCATGTATTTATCATTAACTTTTGGATACACATATTAATTCATATTTACCTGCCATCAACTTTTGGATACACATGAACTCTTATCAATGTTTCAGCCGTCCTGAAGGGCGAGGCGTGGTTCAACGACAAACAATGGCTGTGTGAGACAGTGGCCGTCATGTGCTTGACCGCGTGTTTCTGTGCCTTCTTGAGCCTGACCCTGGCCAGCTTAAACAGGTACTCACTCTGTGTTTACATACACGTGTGTGTGCTCATGGTGAGCTGAGATCAGTAGCGTCAATTGAGGATTGGGGGAGGTGGGCGTCCGCAGTCCGAGTGACACCATTTAAAGAGCGACCCCAAGTAAAAAAAATCGTAAATGTTAATTTTAAAAACAATGTTTAATCCAGTTTAAGAAACAAATTGAAGACTCAGAGGTTACACCAAACCGAAAATGGAAAATTGTTTGAGGGGTATAATTGTGTGCGGGAGACTTAGATAATTCTTGAAAACTGTATGGTTAAGGATAAACTTTCTTTGATATGGTGAATCATCTATATATTTTAATACTTCGTTATGTCGCTGCGCTGATATTATTTTAACCATTCAATGGCAAGCATGGGAGACACAATATTTTATTTAGAAGTGGAGGCTTAGTTAAGGGAGGTAATCAATTAATATGAATCTATACACAGAATAGCCTCCCTTTGTTAAAACCCCACTTTGTTCGTCAACATATTACTATTTAAATTAAATGTATTAACCAAATGTGCAGGACACTGAAGATTATTTTATTAGCATAAATTTTTATAATATTATTATATTAAAGAACACACATTATTACTGTAACTGTAGCTAAACAATGACTAGATAAAACTCCTCTATCGACTAGGTACGTGTTTGTGTGTCACAACGCCATGTACAGCCGTATCTTCACCAAGAAAATGTGTACCCTCATGTGTATAGCAGCCTGGACCATCGCCTTCTTCTTCGAGTTTCCTAACCTCACAGGTGAGTGGTCATCACGTCATGAGTGAGTGGTCAATACGTCATGGGTCAGTGTCCAATACGTCACGGTTGAGTGGTCATTATGTTAAGGGTGAGCGGTCCATACGTCATGGGTGAGTGGTCACTACATTAAGCATGAGTGGTCAGTACATTAAGGGTGAGTGGTCAATATTACTAATTAATAGTTACTGGTGAGTGGTCAATAGTTCTTGGGTTAGTGGTCAATACGTCACCGGTGAGTAATCAATAGTCTCGGGTAAGTTGTCAATAGTTCACGAGTGAGTTGTTCTTACATTACGTGTAAGTGGTCCCTGCAGTGTTCAATATTTTTGTTGGGTTCGTTTAGAAAAATGACACCTCGAGTTTTGTTTACATTAATTTTGCTTTGTTGATGATGTAAAGTTTCCATTTCGGACCTAAAGATTGTTAGGGCAGAAGAGGTAGAGTTTATGTTTCTTAAATACGGGTAATGGTGGGATGGTGTGGTCAGCACTATGCTCAGCTGGGCGGTCCGAGATCAAAGCTTGAGACTTTCAGGTCAGCATAGTGCACCCGACCACTCCGTCCCAATACGTAGGTCTAATTTAAGACTTTAGTACGGAATATCAGAAAACTCAGACCCATTGTTGTACCAAAGTTTGGTCTAACAAATTTAGCTCCCTTCTAGTAGCTGCCATGGCAGTTATAAAGACGTTTTAATGCAATTTTTTTTGTCCGATTTCTTTTGTTAATCTGCTAAAAAAGAAACAAGTAAAACGATGGTACAGTGAGGTTTGTGTTGATACACAAGGTTAAAACAAGTCTTAAACTGGCTCTTGAACTTGAGTTAGACTTAACGTTAGATTACATATTGGGTTTCTGTTGATGCAAAATGTTATAACACGGAAGATAGCTCCTGCAACTGTGTTAGGGTTAAAATTAAAGTTGACTTTACGTTTGTATTAAAAACAATACACTTAATGTACAATATCATTCCTCTCTCCCCTCCCCCCTCTCAGGTTGGGGTCGGCACTCCTTCGACAAGAAGAGCAACCAGTGTATCTGGGATAGAACCGCCAGCCTCTCCTACACCGTCATCGTGTCTGTGGGTCTCATCGGCACCCCGCTCTTCACCATGGGCATGTGCTACATCCTCATCTTCAGGAAAATTTACAAGTAACTCGACGACTTTTGATTTTATTTTAGACTTCTCGAATTCGAGGGTATTTATTAATATAGGATACATTTTTATGTCAGTTGTCAACTGTGGTTTCCCAGGGTAGGTTTGCTGACATGGCTGTCGAGTGTTCGTTTTCATTCTGTTTGTTCATTCATGTAAGTTTAGAAAAAAATGTTTGAGTGAGAAACATCGTTTATTTTAATGTTAATTGTTAATTCCGGTGGGAACAGGCATTACCCCCGTCAATTACCCCCTGGAGAATTACCCCCCCCCCCTCCCACAAATTCAGGGCCCCAAACCTAACCATTTACCCCCCCCCCCCTTCCGGACATCCCCTCCGAAATTACCCCCCGTAGAAATTATCCCCTGTCAATTACTCCCCCACCCCCGTCATATCTTAAGACACAGCTACGATTAGGGCTAGGGTTTGACATAGGGTTAGGGTTAGGATCAGGATTAGGATTAGTGTTAGAGTCAGGGTTAGGCTTAAACCCATGTCTAGGGTTGGGTTTGGTTTTAGGTTAAGTTTTTGGCTGAGGTGAATGCTTAGGTTTTTGTCTTTTTCTAATGGTTAGGTTTGGGGCCCTGAACTTGGGGGAGGGGGGTAATTCCCCAGGGGGGATTGACATGGGGTAATTACTTCGGGAGGTAATGTTTCGGGGGTAATTGACGGGAAGGGGGTAATGTCCTAGACCCAATTCCGGTAGACAAGTAGGTCCTTAATAGTTTTTAAAAAGCAATACACAGTCGAATATATTGTTATGTTGGGATTTAAAAAGAAACAACATTTTTGTTACATTGCAGCACAAAAGCCAATTTATATCGCCTCGAGGTCGACGACCCGGAGAAGAAGAAAAAAATCTGGAGCGAGACCGTCAAATCTTCCAAGATGCTCTTCATCATCTTCCTCATCTTCGTCGTCCTCTGGACGCCCTACGCCGTCGTCATCGCAGCAGACGTGTCGGACACGATGCCAACAGCCCTGCACCTGTTTGTCACCATGTTGGCGCACCTGCACTCCAGCATCAACTTCCTGGTCTACATCACGTGCAACCGCAACTTCCGGTTCGCGGTGCTCAAAGTGCTGCGCTGTGGCAACTGCTCGGAGAGTAAGTCCTTGACGTCTGAGACTCGCTCGTCCAATTTTAAGGGAACCACCAGCATTTCTGAAACAGTTTCGACCAACTACTCCACGGCGATTGAAAAGAGCGACTTCCTCAAGAATGCCAGTAACTAATCTACAGCTGGTGTTGGTCAGGGGTGGACTTGCCCGCTGATCGACCGGGAAAATTCAGGGGGGCCCCAGGTAAGAAATAACGGTGGGCCCCCATTAACGTTGCTGTATTAGGCCTTTTTGTACTTTGATTTAAAAAGAAATTGTCGCTTGAATTTCCATCAAACTGAGGAGTATCATCAGACTTTGATGGGGGAAAATGCACAAAATGAAAATTGTAATCAAGACGGGGAGGGAGGGGGGCTTTTAAAACCTCCAGGGCATTTTGGACACAGGCAGTCCACCTCTGGCGTTAGTTAAAAGAAAATTAAATCCTTTCCATCCTTTTTTTTTTACTTTTCGAATAACATATTCATTTTAATAATTGAAATTATTTAAACTAAGTAATGAAACGGTTAGATGAATAAAGTATACATACGATATGAAAACGATTTATACTATTGGCATAGCATTATTTTAAAATGATTAGGTAACTTAAACTAGTTACTTAAAATGGAATATGTAAGACATACCCAGTGTTTCTTCCAGACTTTTTTTCTCCGGGGGGGCACTTGAAATTTTTCGGGGGGGGGGGGGCGGTAAACTTTCTTCGGGGGGGGGGGGGGCGGACACTGTTAAAAGTATATATTTTCTATATAAATTATATAAATTTCATTTCGTTCGGGGGGGGGGGGGGGCGGTAAAATTTTTTCGAGGGGGCGAAGACCCCCGAAGAGATGCCTGGAAGAAACTCTGGACATACCTAAGACATTGAGTCCATCAGCTGTGTGTAGAGGGGCCTGATACATGGGCAACATCTGGCTCTTCTCAACTTAGGGCCCAGGCTTTATACTTAGATTCTCGAATGCACAATCATCCAATCGTCTAATTAGACTACGGAGCCGTATTATAAATATACACATTAATAGTTTCTTAACTATAAATGTTAGTTTTTTTAGTCTACTGTTGCCCCACGACAATTTCTTAAAATCTATTATGAATTGAAAGCTTGTATACAAGTTTTTGTGCCTATAGCTTTGAGTTACTTAAGCACAAACTGACTACAAGAAACAAAAGAAGTAAACAAGATTCAGCAGTATCGATATTTAGTCACGGACGTTTGTCGACGTGTTTCTAAACAAAGTTTCACACGACCAGCACATCTTCCCACTGTCCCTGTCTAGTGATGTAAGATTTGATATCAATTACAATTGAGTGGACAGCAATCAGTGTTTCTTCCAGTCTACCCCCTCCCCGAACGAAATGGAATTTATATAGAAAATATATACTCTTAACCGTGTCGCACCCCCCCCCCCCCACCCTGAAATTTTAGTGTCCCCCCCCCCCCCGAAAATTTCAAGTGCCCCCCCCCCCCCTCCGCGGAGAAAAAAAGTCAGGAAGAAGCAATGACAGCGATAATTCCTAAAGCAGTTGATCAGGATTTTAAACCCGAGGTTATCGAACTTTGTCAATAAAAAAAACAGTCTGGCAAATTTTCAAATTTAATAGTGTGACGAAATATATTAATGTGAACACAGTAAAAGAAAATAAACAATAATAAAAGTTGAACATTTATTTGATGTAATATACTAAGTTTTCATATACACTACTTTAAGAAAAAATTAATTACATTTGTTTTAAAAAAAAACATTAATTTATTGATCATGAGCGGTTAAAAATAAAGCAAATAAACACATTTTAAAATTTTAGCTAGATCTATACAGTTCTAATACTATGTGAAACGTCGAGAAAATATTAATAAAAAAAATAAAAAATTTTAAACTTAATAAACTTAATACATTAAACAATTTTATTTAATTAAAAAAAATATTTCACCGCTCCACTTCGATTTAGAACGGTGAGTAAACCTTGGAGATCAGAATCAGAGGCTCGATTGATATTTATTATATGATGGTGGCTGTTATAAAAATTAGAAAAACAAATTAAATGTCAGAGCTTTAACGAAAAAGCAGACAGTCCACAAGTATGGCGGAAATGAGCAGCTAAGAAAGCAAGCCAGCCAAACATTTTGAATGTTATAAAATTAGGATATAATTCGATACAGGCAATTTCCACATGTAGGCTGATTATTTCTTACTAGAAAAATTATTTAACGCTAAAGATGTGTGTGAGTTTGTGTGTGTGAGTTTTTGTGTGTGAGTGCGTGTGTGTGTGTGTGTGAATGTTTAAAACCAAGGTAGTGTTATCGTACATTGTAGATAAGACAGTGATTTGAACTTCCTGCTTCATAAGGTGGGGGTGTCTTCATGTTTGGACACATCCACACAGGGGCGATAACTAGTTGGAGACTGGGGATTTAGATACCGTATGTCTGGTGCCAAGGGTGTGTGTGTGTGTGTGTGTGACAGACAGGTAGAAGAACAGGCTCGAATCACAGGGACGAGGGAGTGACTGATTTATAGGCAAGGTTTTTACGAGTCAAGGGATGAGTGACGTTGTAGGGTCAGTTCTATTCTGGAGACGGGCATGGGTGGGTCGAGAAGTGATTAAAAAGTGTAGGACGAGAATGTTAAAAGACTGATTTGTTGGTAGTTACGTTTTCTGTTAGCGGTAGTCTGTCAAAGTATATATGTCATGTTAGAACCCGAGTGGACGTAACTTGATCAAGTCTACGGTTATTAAATACTATAGTGAACGAATTACTATTTTATTTAATAAAAAAATCTTGATATTCTGTTGACCGTTGGTGAATAGCATGCAAGAAAAAACATTATTGTTATTATGGCTACTGATTTCCACGAACAACCACACTGAACTAACCAAATTAAAATTGTTCTAAACATACCCGATTTGGACTTAGGTGGACGTGTAGCAAGTTCCCAATCTAGAAACTGACATAAACAACGAAGTGACATTTCAGCCTTCTGTTTCTTATCAGCAGGTACAGTGATACAATGGGCTTGGTGAATGTTTGCTATTTCACATGCGTCTAATTTTATAACTAGCAAACGACTATTTGGTACAGTCGACTGATTAAAAATAGTTTCTTGTATTGAGGATAGCTCTATCGGTTTTAGAGGGTCTTCAGTGTATGACTTTGAGGCTAAGACAATAAATCTGTAGCTTTGTTCAATAGCATTCGAGGTTTCCGAAAACGCGTGTCTCCCAGGAATTACGCCAGTCTCCACTTCGAAGACTGACAATCTACGAAACAGAAAAAACTTTTTCAAGTGCTTTGCAACGGCTTTATCGTATTGATCTTCTTCGTTGTACGATAAAAAGAAAGCATATTTCTTCTTGTGGTGTATTGCCTGTGGCATGGGGAAAGCATACATGCATATTGTGTACAAGGGTTTAGTGATATTGTCTCTAATCCAGAAAGTTAAATAAATAACAAAAACACTGTAAATAAAAAATACCAGGCATACTAAGCAGTCATTAATATACAAGGTGTAATAGCTGTTGGCTGTTAACATATCAACAATAGAACAAAATGGGATTGCGTCTTTTCCATCATCACAGAAACTGTAATTTTCATTGTCGTTGTGTGAAGATTGCAACCAAAGGTTTAATGGGTACTCTATTTTAACTTGATCCACTCCTTTTGGAGATTTGTTGTATTTAATTCTATGAATTACAAACGACTGCATTCCCACTGACGACTCACATATACACTGCCATCTAATGATGTGAGTATAATGGTCGTATCGGCGTAAGTTCATAAGGGGTAAGTCAACAAAATTTCCATATCTTAAAAATATCCAGTAAAGTTTAACAGACAGAGAGCAGCATTCAAAGTTTTCATGGATCGAATCACTTTCATCTGAACTGACATCCACCCACAGGTCATCCTCGTGGGCCACTGTCCAGTATCGAGCCTTGGTGAATAGAATAGCTCCCGGGTTTACCATCACACTATACATTGTTTTCTCTCGACCATGTTCGACCAGCTCAAGTACGTGAATGCAATGGTAGTTAGATTCTAGATGAAGTCGCTCAGAATATTCGCCCATGAAGCAATATGAATAATTTCCAAAATCGAATTCATTGATCAGCAATATTGACAATGTTGAAACGACAGTATACTGTCTTTGAAAAGTTTCATTAAAAAGAATGCTTATATTAACAGATATTCTGTTGTCAGTTTTAATAGGAAATCCATTTCTTTTCCAGTAAGAAATATCACGAAATTTATCAGCATTACTTTTAACCGTTACAGAATATTCATGTTTAAACACAACATCTTCCAAACGATAACGGTAGATCCTGTCTGGACGATATGATGGGGAAAGAGAGTGTTGTGGTGGTATAAAAGAATTGGGCTCTTTCAAGAACATGTCAGCAGTTACAATATTCCTCTCCATCCATCGAACCAAGTTTCCTTTCGTCAGCTTGTATAATACATTTTCAGAGCCCTCTAAAGCAAAGTATCCTAGATATACAGTAAGACATTGTAGGAAAATACAGACAACAGCCCTTTTCTTACTTTTGCTTAGAACATCTTTAATAAAAAAACAAAAAGTTGGCAAAATCAATATTCCTTTTATGCATACTCCAATAGGATATTCCACAATTTTATTTCCAAGTGTCTTCAAATTCACGTGAAGAATTTCGACTACAAACATCAATTCATCAATTGTCATATCTTTAAATTCAAGTCGGCCTATAAATTTGTCTGTAACTTCTGTATGATATGTAAATCCATAATATAAATATATAGTCCTCATCATAATAACAAGTGACAAAACGAGTAAACTTGTCAAGAAATATTTGACATATTTGAAAATGAAAGCAATAGCTCTATAAAAAAACAATATTCCTTCTCTGTCCACGATTTTCAATTCAAATGTTGAGTCCATGGTGAAATTTAATGTTTGCCAACGACACTAACAACCATCGCTGAAACTGTAAATGTACAAATTTTAATCGAAATTCCCGTTTTATAATCACGTGGGTAGTGCCACGTAACATTTCTTAAGGCGTGTTATTGATCAGTTGTAGCCTATTCGTCTGTCTGATATCAATATTGGTATTAAATTTCCATGAGACGATGGTCACTGTTGTCATTATTGTTGATTTGGACAAAAAAAAACACATGGTTTCTGTCTAAATTTCGTCTTTTAAGTAAAATAAAAATAAAAGTGTAATGTATTGAATTTAAAATAATTTTTACAAGCTTTTATTTAACTCAATTCCTCTGACGTCAGTCTGTCTGGATCGAAACGGTCGAGCAAAATTGCAGGCACTTCTAACTGACAGAGACGGTTCGTAACTGGTACGTGGGTCAGGACATGAAGACAATGCATCATGACATTCAATTTGACTTAATTGGTCGCCTGATTATTTTTTAAAGAATTAATTAAAAATGTGACCTAATTAGTAGGCAGTCCTATCCAACTACTCCACACGCGTGATAGATTGCCCGCTGACGTTTATTGTCAAAACTA